GCTACCCACTCCAGTATTCTTGGACTTTCCTGGTGGCTCAGCTGGTAAAGAATCCTCCTGCAATGCGGGAGACCTGGGTTCCATCCCTGGCTTGGGAAAGTCCCCTGGAGAAGAGAACGGCTACCCACTCCAGTATGCTGGCCTGGAGAATTCTGGTCTGGTCGCAAAGAGTGGAGCAGGACGGAGCAACGTTCACTTTCACTTTCCAGCAGCCAGGGCTCGCGCAGGCGTCCTGCGTCTCCCGGGTGACAGGGCGCAGCGGCGGCCGCGATGACGTCAGGCCCGGGGGCGGGGCGCAGGGCCTGTCTGGGGCTGCGCGCGCGCTCCCCAGGTTCCTGAATCCAGGTGGACTTCTGGGGGAACGGCGTTGGGAGCCTGCCGTGTGTTCGCGGGGCGGTGCGGGGGCCGCGATCGGAGGGCCCGGCGACGTCTGAAAGTCCAGCCCGCCTTTGCCCAGAGGGTACGCGGGGGTGGCGCGTGCAAAGGTCGGGGTGGGGTGGGGGACAAACGCGTCTTCTTCAGGAACTGCTGAGCGCAGAGGCTGCGAGGGCAGGCGGCCGGGCAGGTAAACGAGCGAGATGTATATTGAGGAGTTCAGACACTTGTCCCCTGAGGTCAGAGGACAGCTGTCACCTAGCGGCGGGAGCATGGTCGGGTCTGCATGTTAGGGCCCCTTCTGAAATTGTCTGAAAGCGACTATTGCGCCCCCCAAATGGTATAGATGCCTCCGCCCCCCACCCCCCAAATGGTATAGACGTTCCGTTCCGTTCCGTTCCGTGCCTGGAAATGCTCTAGGTGTCCCAGTGAGTGGTAACAGCCATGCAGGATCAACCTGGCCGTTGTCACCACCTGCCAGGCAGGTGAAGTGACTGCCAAGTTCGCTCCACGCCTAAGCTCTAAAGTTGGAATCTGACGCCAGGTGTCTGGCTTCAGATACTTGTGTGTAACATCATGCAGTAATGTCGGTGGCTTAGGGTTCTGGAGTTTGGACTGAGGTCGTTAAGGCCCTGGACAATCTTCTTTACTAACACATTTGCTTTCATCACCTGGAAGGTGAGAGTACTGATTGTTCTGGGGTTCCTAGCATCTGGAAAGCAGCTGCTCCACCCACAGTCAATGTTTGCTCAATAACTGGAGGTTGTTAGGATAAGAGTTCTTGGGCTCAAAGAGAAAGGATAGGATTTATTTGGTATTCAGTTCAGTCGCTCAGTCGTGTCTGACTCTTTGTGAGCCCATGAATCGCAGCACACCAGGCTTCCCTGTCCATCACTAACTCCCAGAGCTTACTCAAACTCATATCCACTGAGTCCGTGATGTCATCCTCTGTCGTCCCTTTCTCCTCCTGCCCCCAATCCCTCCCAGCATCAGGGTCTTTTCCAATGAGTCAACTCTTCACATGAGGTGGCCAAAGTATTGGAGTTTCAGCTTCAACATCGTCCTTCCAATGAACACCCAGGACTGATCTCCTTTAGAATGGACTGGTTGGATCTCCTTGTAGTCCAAGGGACTCTCAAGAGTCTTCTCCAACACCACAGTTCAAAAGCATCAATTCTTTGGCACTCAGCTTTCTTCAGTCCAACTCTCACATCCATACATGACCACTGGAAAAACCATAGCCTTGACTAGATGGACCATTGTTGGCAAACTAATGTCTCTGCTTTTTAATATGCTATCTGGGTTGGTCATAACTTTCCTTCCATGGAGTAAGCGTCTTTTAATTTCATGGCTGCAATCACCATCTGCAGTGATTTTGGAGCCCCAAAAAATAAAGTCTGACACTGTTTCCCCATCTATTTGCCATGAAGTGATGGGACCAGATGCCATGATCTTAGTTTTCTGAATGTTGAGCTTTAAGCCAACTTTTTTTCTCTCCTCTTTCACTTTCATCAAGAGGCTTTTTAGTTCCTCTTCACTTTCTGCCATAAGGGTGGTGTCATGTGCATATCTGAGGTTATTGGTATTTCTCCCGGCAATCTTGATTCCAGCTTGTGCTTCCTCCAGCCCAGCTTTTCTCATGATGTACTCTGCATTATAAGTTAAATAAGCAGCGTGACAATATACAGCCTTGACATGCTCCTTTCCCTATTTGGAAGCGGTCTGTTGTTTGGTATTTGAGAGGTGCAATGAGGGAGGGATTTGGTAACTAATTGAATTCTGGGACAAGGGGCAGAGAGGACTTCCAGGCTGGCAGTTGGGTTTATAGGTCAACTAACCCTAAAAAAAAATGTTTTGTAGTTTTCTGAGTATAAGTTTTACACTTCTTTTGTTGAGTTTATTCCAAGTATTTTATCATTTTTGATGCTGTCATAGATAGAATTGTTTTCTTAACTTCATTATTGAGTTGTTCACTGTTAGTGTATAGGAATCAGCTGAGTTTTGCTTACTGATCTTGTTCCCTGCAAACTGGGTAGACTGATCTATTAATCCTAATAGTTTTTTAGTGGATTTCTTAGGAATTTCTGTACAAAATCATGTCATCTGCAGGTAGAGACAGGTTTCTAATCTGGATGCCTTTTATATCATGTTTTGCTTGATTGCATTGGCCAGCACTTCCAGTACAGTGTTGACTAGATGTGGTAGAGTGGACATCCTTGTCTTGCTCCTGATTTTAGGGGCAAGGCATGAAGTCTTTTATACTTAAGGACAATGATAGCTAGAGGGTTTTTGTAGATGTCTTTTTATCAGGTTCAATAGTTTTATCAAACGATTTCTAGTTTGTTGAGTTTTTATCATGAAAGGATGTTCGATTCTGTCACACGCTTTTCTGCATCTATTGATATGATCTTGTACTTTTTGTCCATTTATTTTGTTGATATGGTGTATTATGTGAATTGATTTTCAAATGTTGAATCAACCTTACATTCCTGGGATATATCTCATATGGTTGTGATGCATAATCTTTTTAATATGTTGCTGGATTCACTTTGCAAGACTTATTGAGGATTTTTGCATTTATATTCATGAGGGATATTAGTCTGCAGTTTTCTTGTCATCTCTTTGGTTTCAATGTAATACTGGCTTAATGGAACGCTTTATAAGTGTGTTCCCTCCTCTTCTATTTTTTTGTAAGAGTTCGTAAATTTTTATTTTTCTTCTTTAAATATTTGGTAGAGTTCACACTGGAAGCCCTCTGGCTTTTCTTTGTGGGTATTGATTCCTAATTCAGTCTCTTTCTTCTTTATGGATCTGATCTCATGTTCCATTTCTTCATGAGTCAGTTTTGGTAGATTGTGTCTTTTTAGGAACTTGTCAGTTTCACGGAAGTTATCTTACTTGTTGGCATACAGTGGTTCATAGTATTCCCTTAGAATCCTTTTTATTTCTTTAAGGTTGGTGGTAATAGTCCCGCTTTGGTCCCTCAAGTTAGGAATTTGTGTTTTCCTTCTTTTTTTTTAACTGGGTCAATCAAGCTAAAGGTTTGTCAGTTTTGTCAGTGTTTTCCATGAACCAACTTTTGTTTTTGCCGATTTTCTCTTTTCTAGTCCATACTTCTTGCTCTAGTCTTTTGTCTACTTGCTTTCTGCTTGCTCTGGACTTAGTCTGTGCTTCTTTCTCAGCATCTTTTTTTTTTTTATAATTTATTTATATTTGGTTGTACATATCTTTAGTTGTGGCATGTGGGATCTAGCTCCCTGACTGGGAATCAAACCCATTTCCCTTACATCAGGAGCATGGGGTCTTAGCCACTGGACCACCAGGGAAGTCCTCTCAGCATCTTAAAGTGATTGCTAAAGAGCTTGCCCAGGGCTCGTGTTCTGCAGAGTTCAGCTTCCCCCTCTGCCACTTCTCAGTGGTGGGAGCTTGCAAAGGACAGCGAGCTTCTCTGAGTTGGGGTTCTTGCATCCTTTAGAGGGCCAGTAGAACCTCTCTACAGTTTAAGAGATGGAATAAGCTGCTGTCTGTCGAGGGCACAGTCTCTGATACACAAAGTATAAAAGTCGCTCAGTTATGTCCGACTCTTTGCAACCCCGTGGCCTGTAGCCTGCCAGGCTCCTCTCTCCAGGGAGTTCTCCAGGCCAGAATACTGGAGTGGGCAGCCATTCCCTCCTCCAGGGGATCTTCCCAACACAGAGGTCGAATCCATTCCCTTCTCCGGGGGATCTTTCCAGCCCAGGGATCGAACCCAGGTCTCCCGGATCGCAGGTGGATTCTTTACTGTCTGAGCCACCGGGGAAGCTATCTGACTTGAGCAGGTCCTCCCGTGTGCCCTGCGGATCCTTTCCCCTCACCCGGAGGACACAAGGGTCTCGCCGGTCAGACTGACCACTTTTCCATTGTGTGTCAGCAGCGCTGACCATCATACTCAGAGTTCGACCTCCCAGACTCTCCTCATGCTTAACTACAGGATTTAAATGTTCTCCTGGACCTTAAAGAGTTGCCCTGGGGGTCCACACCCAGGACTCTGCTCTCTTGGTGTCTCTCTGGGTCTTTGTTCACAAGCCCCTCCCATCCCTGCCTTCATTGACCCAGACACCGGAAAAGGAGCTAGTCTGCTCAGGAAATTCCAGAATGATCCTTTGGTCAAGAGAGCTAGGTTGCTGTTAGTGGGAAGCCAGATGCTTCTGTGTCAAGTAGAGTCACAGACTCTGAAGACATCCCCCGTCCAGGTCGGCTCACGGGGACTCCAGGGGTGTGGCTGGAGCGGGCCGGCCAGAGCTGGTTGGACTCCAGGGTGAGGCTTCCCGGGCTGTGGGTCTGGTGGCTCTGGGCAAGTGAGGCATCCTCTGGCCACGCTGAGCGCTTCACAGCGCCGGCCATAGGGCTGCTCTTGGCCCCCGTCTGACTCTTGGTCACCTCGTTGCAGGAGTGGAGCCCAGAGCACTCGCCTCCCGCCTTCTCCTGGGAGAGTGGACACCAGCTGTGTGGGGTCGTCCCCACTGCCCTTTCCTCTGTGATCAGAGCTTGTCTGTCTGTCTTTCACATCCCGCGGCACGGTGATGGCGAGAGAAGGACGCGCGCTGACTCGGGCTGTGTGTCTGTGCAGGTGGCGGCTGGGAACGATGGCGCCCCTCAGGGAGAGCAGTGATGACCCTATGCTGCTGGACCCGCCCCAGGGGCCCCTGCACGTGGCCCGCACCCGCGCTTCGTTCCCCTGGAAGGAGCTGGTGCTGTTCTGGGAGGGCGAGGACATACTGCGCTACAAGGTGAGGCTGGGCTGGTGGCCACTGGGGGCCTCGGTGGCGCGGGGGGGCTCTGCTGGGCTCCTGGTTCATCAGCAGAAAGATGGCGGGGGTCCTCGGGGAACTCTTGGGAGCCTGGAATGAATGGACACAGACAAACTGGGCTTCCTAAGCCTGGTACCTCTGCTCTCCCCTGAGAAGGACTCTCATCTCTGTTCCTGTGTTTCTGGGTTAGACTGCCCACCCGAGGCAGCCCGTGGCCTTGAGAAGGCCATGTAAGCCAGAGCTTAGTGAAAAAATTACGTACTTTGCCTCCAAATCCACTGTTCCCTGCCTGCTGCATTTCCAGAAAACCATCTTCTCAGCTCTGGAGAACGACCCCCTCTTCGCCCATCACCATGGCAGCCAGCTCTCTGTGGAGAAGTACCAGGAGCTGAACTTCCTGCGCTGTAAGAGGATCTTCGAGTACGACTTCCTCCCCATGGGGGACATGCTGGGCAGCCTGCCGAAGGTCCTGGCGCTGATCGAATGCCTGAGCATGTACGACTGTTGCCTGGCCTCCAAGTTCTTCCTGAACGTGCTGGTGAGCTGCCCCGGCAGAGGGGAGGAGCGGGGAGGGGCCCCTCCCACGCTGTGCCGGGGCTCAACAGCGCTCCGCCCCCCGAACCTGAGATACGCTCGGCAGTTGCCTCTGTGGTTTGCTGGTTGGCAGCGTTTGCCCACTTCTAGAGCTTTGTGAGACTTGTGCATTTGGGAAACGTTCACTTAAAGAGATTTCTAGAAAATGATACAGGAAACAGAAGCAGAGATAAGGGGCTTCCCTGGGGGTCCAATGGCCAAGACTCCATGTTCTCAGCGCATGGGGCCCTGAGTTTGATTGCTGGTCAGGAACTAGATTCCCACAAGCTGTAACTAAGAGTTCGCGTGCTGCACCAAAATAAATAAAGAGGAAAAAAAAAAAAAAGAAAATTTGTGAAAAAACAAAAGCAGAGATGAAAATATGTGGGTAGACCTTGTGACTTGTAGTGAAAAAAGCCCAGTTTTTTTCAGCTGTTTATGTAGACTTACACACGTCAGTGCTTGAATAATGCAACGCAGTTAAAACTCCATAGAAATAGCAGCTCTGGGACTCATACGAAAAATCATGATAAGTGGAAGGAAGGGAAGGAAGGAAAATAGGTCAAAGGTGAAGCCTGTTTTTCTGCTTCTTTGATACGCGGGTGGAGATGAACTTGGGGAGGTGGTGTCATCCACGTGCTGTCTCAAAGAAAGGTGGGCTCGCCTTGCCCATCCCACACTCTCGTCCCCCCCCCCCCTCCACTCCCACCTCCTTGGTGTTCACGGACCCTCTCCTGGTCCTGTTCAATGCACGTAAATGGCTTGTGACAAGGACCTGGGTCTTGTCACTCTGTGAGCGCAAGGCCAGGCAGCTGAGTCCTAGGGTCTACCTTGGGCCGTGGACCCCAGTGCTGCTTTGTCTGGGAAGCTGGAGCCCTTCCTGGGGGCTGGTGTGGTGCCGGGGGCTGGGTGTGTGTGTGTGTGTCGGAGTGGGAAGTGGGGATAAAGTCCCAGAGTGGCAGCACGCCTTAGCTTCCACCTGTTTACATGGTGATGTTGTATTTTCAGACTTTTGGATTCGCGATTTACAGCTCCGGTTCCGAACAACACTTCAGATACCTTCCGAAGGTCTTCAGTATGGAGGTTAGCTGGGGTTCACGTGTGAGCTCGTGTCCTGTCACCTGCTCTCCTTGGAGATGGGTGGGGAGGGCGCACTGCTGCAGAGGGTCTGCAGGTGGGGGACCTCTCCTCTCCCTTCATGCTGTGCTGGGGCCGCTCGCCAAACAGTTCATGCTGTTCTTTACCAGACTGGGCCGTGCCGGATTCCTGGCATGATAGGAACTGAACTTTTTCTTATCGAAGCAGCGCCTTCGTTTTCTTCCGCAGCCTGAGAGCTGCCCTTAGCCACTTTGCTGACTTAGCCAGGCCCCCATCAGCCCTCTGCCGGCTGCCCACCCCCCAGGCGGGAGCTGCAGCCAGTGTCTCGCATGGCAGGCTGCCTCAGTGAGCCTGCTGGGCGTCAGGCAGGAAAGGGAAACTGAGGGCTTTGGTTGGCGGTCTAGGCCGAAAAGGAGGCCTGGCGGCAGGGTCCCTCCAGGAAGGTGCAGAAAGGGCCTTTTCACCTGACCGCATTCTCTGTGTCCATGCTAGATTTTTGGATGTTTTGCTCTGACGGAAGTGAGTCATGGGAGTAACATCAAGGGCATGCGGACAACCGCTCACTACGACCCCGCCACCCAGGTAGGTGATACCCACCCGTGCTGTCTCTAGGCTTCGAGCACGTGAAACATGGTGTTGTCACATAATTAGACCAAGAAACCTGGCTCTTGCCTAAAAGTGCACTCTGAGATCCATCACACTGTGAACAGCAGAGCTTAGGAGATGAAGGTTGTGAGCGGTGAAGCCTGGCCGCACCCAGGCGTCTGCTGTGGATTGGACTTGGGTAGGCTGTGAACAAGGCGAGGGCGCAGGCTGTCTTTTTATAAAATCCGGGTTTATCTGGTGTGCGATTCGTGAACGGTTGCAGCTGCTCGTGCTTTATGGGGCAGACAGGAACGCAGGTTCGCCTTGAGCGTCATCCCTCTCTAGCGGCCTGTCCCCTGTGCCCCGTGTGGGGCCAGGCTCTAAGGACGGCAGCCCAGCCCCTCTGGTCCCGTGGCCACTCCTGCACCTGTGGACGCTCCGTGGCCCCTGTGTGGTCGGCCCCGCTCCGCGCTGTGCGTTGAAGGCCGCTCTGTGCGGGCTCGGTCCTTAGTGCCGTGGGGACCCGGCAGTCCTCGGGGAGGGAGCTCGTGTTCCAGAGGAGGCCAGTCCGTGAGCAGACAGCGGCGTGGTGTGTCGGCTGGTCTGTGCAGCGGGGCGCGGGGGAGAGGACGGGCCGTGCGGGGAACCCGTGGTCTGTGCCGCTCCCCGTCCTGCCGCCCCCTCCCGTCACTGGTGTCGGGCTCCTTGGCCTCCACGTCTCCCAGATGGCCACATCCTCCTGCCCCTTCCTCAGGGGTCCTGTGTGTTGGGAACCTGCGGCCCTTCCGCCGCCTGGTGCGTGTGGTTTGGCTGAGTTGCGTGCAACAGGGTGAAGCCTTGCCCCATGTGTCTGCTCACCGTGTGTTTATTCATGGGACAGGTGGGCTGGGTGTGTGGAAGGCAATGTGGGCAGGGGGTGCAAGAGGATGAACCTGAGAAGCCCCTGGAAGAACAGGGGTGGTGGGGGGCGCGGGTCACAGTGGGTGCCCTGCAGGCTGCTGGTGGTGCCTGGGAGCAGAGACAAGGGTCAGCCACACCCCACGGGCTGAGAGCAAGCAGTGGGGCCTCTTGGGTATCCTTGTCATTCAGTTGCTCAGTCGTGCCCAACTCTTTGCGACCCCGTGGGTTGCAGCACGCCAGGCTCCCCTGTCCTTCACTGTCTCCCGGAGCTTGCTCAAATTCATCTCCATTCAGTCGGTGATGCCATCCAACCATCTCATCCTCTGTCATCCCCTTCTCTTCCTGCCTTCAGTCTTTCCCACATCAGGGTCTTTTCCAACGAGTCAGCTCTTCCCATCAGGTGGCTAAAGTATTGGGGCTTTAGCTTCAGTATCAGTCCTTCTAATGAGTATTCAGGGTTGATTTCCTTTAGGATTGACTGCCTTGATCTCCTTGCAGTCCAAGGGACTGTTGTTTAAGCCACGAGATATCTTTATATGCACCCGGGTCTTTCTGGCTCTCAGCCCTTCTTTTCCCTCGGCTTCTGGTGTCCTTTGGCCCTCAGTGCTGGGCTGGGGGACAGGGGAGGCCCTTTCTGACTCTGCAGAGGGAGGGTGGTACCCCCACGGCCTTGAGGCCTCCATGGCCTGAGTGAAACTCAGTTACCTTGGAGGCTGTTGTCTCTGACCCTCTTCCTCTGGGCTTTGGTCCTTAAGTGAAGATCGCTGAGGTTAGGAGCCCCAGGCCTCCCTCGGGTGTTTGTTGAGCACCCTGCTGTGTACTCAGCACTGCTGCCAGAGACAGCTGCTGGCATCTGACATGCCAGTGGGACTCTTATGCTGGAGGGTAGACGCAGTCCCGTCACCAGAGTGGAGAAACTGGCTGTGGCAGGGGCTGTGGGGCAGGGATGGGAAGGGACCAGCACAACTGGTCCCATCTGGGAGCATCACTACCTGATGTCACGAGTGACAAGGAGATGCAGCGTGTCGATGGGGAGGAGAGAGCAGTGGTGTGTGCTCGAGGGAGCCAGCTGGCTGGGTGACGCCCACAAACAGGTGGGACCTCCCCGGGGGGCAGCCCCCAGCCCTGCTTCCCTCTGCTCCCTCCTGCCTCCCCAGGCCCGGGCCGTGTCCTCAGGGGACCTGTCCCCTCCTGTCTGCTCCTTCTTGAATTTCTGTGCTTGTGTACCTTGTGCTTTTGGGGGAGCTCCCCCGGGGAGCTTGTGGGGGGATAGGCAGGAGCTGAACTTGGCGAATCGGCAGTGGGTGGGGGATCAGGCAGGCGTGAAGGCGAGGAGGGGGCCCCCCGCCCCTGTCTGTGCTTGGGGAAGGCTCCCTGAACGGGTGAGCTCTATCGGGGTGTTGGCAGCTTGCAGCGTGTTTTACTGTTTGCCATGTTCTTCATCATCTTCCATAGGAAGGTTCTTCTTTAAGTCATAAGACCCAGGATATGCTTTTTTTTTTTTTTTAAATGGGGCTCCCCGTGCCACACAGGAAATAACCTTCCATCATTCTTACTCACACCTCCAAGGTTTCGAACAGAGAAGACTGAGTGTGTCAAAGAGATGCAGACTCCAGCGTGCGTCCGTCTCTAACGTCCATTTTCTTCCCCCTCATGCAGGAATTCATCATCCATTCCCCCGATTTCGAAGCCGCCAAGTTCTGGGTTGGCAACATGGGCAAGACTGCTACCCATGCAGTGGTGTTTGCTCAGCTGTACACGCCAGGGGGCCGGTGCCACGGGCTGCACCCCTTTCTTGTGCAGGTAGGGGCAGGCTTCATCCCCGGGGTGGGGGGGTCTGGCCACATCCGGAGATGTTTTCATCACAGCTGGGGGCAGGGGTGATTCTGGCATTTAGGGGTACAGACGCATACTACATAAAGCTCAATACTATAGTGCACAGGACACCCACCCCCCGCCCCCGGCCCCGCCCCAGGAAGAATGATCAGCCCCATATGTGAGGCGCTACCGCTGAGAAACCCCAAGCCCAGGCTCATCTCGGGGAGAGTCTCCATCCTGCTGAGCGCCAACGCCCAGGCTCTGGCAACTGGTCTGAGGGGCTCCAGGAGTTCCGAGGCGAAGTCTGACTTGAGGGTTTTCATGTAGCCCCTTCCCAGGTCACAAACAGAGCTCTGGCTGTTGGGGGTGCCTGGGATAGCCGGCTGGCCTGTTCCCCACTGCCCAGGGTGGCTGCAGCGTCCACAGACCTGGAGCCCCCAAGTTCACCCAGGACCTTTGTGCACGGGCCGACTGGATACCGAATGAAACCCAGCTCCTGCCATCTCCAAACCCATTCTGACATTTTTATTCTCTGAGACTTTCCTGACGGTGGGGAGGCTCTCACGAGAGAAGAGTTCGTGTCACATACACAGGCTTCCCAGGTGGTGCGGCAGTAAGGGATCCGCCTGCCAATGCAGGAGACGCGGGTTGGGTCCCTGGGTCGGGAAGAAATGGCAACCCAGTCTAGTATTCTTGGCTGGAAAATCCCAGGGACAGAGGTGCCTGGCAGGCTGTACCGTCCGTGGGGTCGCAAAGGGCCAGATGCGACTAAGCACGCACGACTAGCCATGTGAAAGTGAACAGTTTAGCGGCCGTGAGTGCGTGCACGACGTCCTGCTGTTCTAGTTTCAGAGCGTCTCCTCTTCAGAAGCCCCACACCCAAGGAGCACGCCCTCCCTGCCACCCCCTGCCCAGGCCTGGCAGCCCCTCGGCTGCTTTCTGCCTCTGCCTCTTCTGGATGTTCTGTAAGAAAGGAGTCACACACTGTGTGACCATTTCTGCCCGACCTCGTCCCCTTTGCATGTCTCTGAAGTTCATCTGCGCTGCAGCCTGCCCCAGAGCCCCCTTCCTTTCTGAGGCCGAATGATCCATTGTGTGGCTGCTCCACAGTTTGTGTGTCCGTTCCTCCTTTGCTGGACGTTGGGCGCTTTCCACCTTTTGGCTGTTGGGAGTGGTGTTACTGTCAACATCCATGAGCCCTGTCTGTCTGTATGTGGGTCCTCAGTCTTTTTTTGGGGGTTGGTACCCAGGAGAAGAATTGCCGGGTCTGATGGTCACCCTGCATTGAACTTTTTATGGAATCCCATACTGGTTGCCAGTGTTTTACATAATCCACCAGCAGGGCTGAGGGGTCTAATTGTTCCACATCCTCACCAACACAGGTTATTATCCTTTTTTTTTTTTTCCGTAACTACCCTAGAGGTTGTGAAGCAGTATCTGGTTGTGGTTTTGATTTGTGTTTCCTTAATAACCAACGGTGTGGAACATATTTTCACGTTCCAGTTGGCCGTTTCTGTGTCTTCGTGGTAGAAATGTCTGTTCAAATCCTTTCTCCTCTGGAACCAAGTGGGGATGGTGAAAGCAAAGGCTATTTGCTCAGAGCTGGCTGAACTTGTGCTTGGCAGAGACTCAGAGGCAGGCGGAGGGCTGTGCGAGCTTCCCAGTGGAGCAGAGGGTAGCTCAGGGCGCCTGATGGGGGCTGGAGACCTGGTGGGAGCTGGGCACGGCTGCCAGAAGAAGGGGCATCCCAGGGACTGGTCAGGTGGGGCCTTCTCTGACTGAGTCTGTGTCGGAAGCAGGACGACGACGAGGGAGCCATCAGTTATTGATCCAGTCATTGATCGAGTCCTGGCCTTGTCCAGGTATTGATCCAGTTACTGATCCAGTCATTGATCGAGTCCTGGCCTTGTCCAGTTATTGATCCAGTTACTGATCCAGTTATCGATCGAGTCCTGGCCTTGTCCAGGTATTGATCCAGTTACTGATCCAGTTATCGATCGAGTCCTGGCCTTGTCCAGGTATTGATCCAGTTACTGATCCAGTTATCGATCGAGTCCTGGCCTTGTCCAGGTATTGATCCAGTTACTGATCCAGTTATCGATCGAGTCCTGGCCTTGTCCAGGTATTGATCCAGTTACTGATCCAGTTATCGATCGAGTCCTGGCCTTGTCCATGTATTGATCCAGTTACTGATCCAGTTATCGATCGAGTCCTGGCCTTGTCCAGGTATTGATCCAGTTATCGATCGAGTCCTGGCCTTGTCCAGGTATTGATCCAGTTACTGATCCAGTTATCGATCGAGTCCTGGCCTTGTCCAGGTATTGATCCAGTTATCGATCGAGTCCTGGCCTTGTCCAGTTACTGATCCAGTTATTGATCGAGTCCTGGCCTTGTCCAGGTATTGATCCAGTTACTGATCCAGTTATCGATCGAGTCCTGGCCTTGTCCAGGTATTGATCCAGTTACTGATCCAGTTATCGATCGAGTCCTGGCCTTGTCCAGGTATTGATCCAGTTACTGATCCAGTTATCGATCGAGTCCTGGCCTTGTCCAGGTATTGATCCAGTTACTGATCCAGTTATCGATCGAGTCCTGGCCTTGTCCAGGTATTGATCCAGTTACTGATCCAGTTATCGATCGAGTCCTGGCCTTGTCCAGGTATTGATCCAGTTATCGATCGAGTCCTGGCCTTGTCCAGTTACTGATCCAGTTATCGATCGAGTCCTGGCCTTGTCCAGGTATTGATCCAGTTACTGATCCAGTTATCGATCGAGTCCTGGCCTTGTCCAGGTATTGATCCAGTTACTGATCCAGTTATCGATCGAGTCCTGGCCTTGTCCAGGTATTGATCCAGTTATCGATCGAGCCCTGGCCTTGTCCAGGTATTGATCCAGTTACTGATCCAGTTATCGATCGAGTCCTGGCCTTGTCCAGGTATTGATCCAGTCATTGATCGAGTCCTGGCCTTGTCCAGGTATTGATCCAGTTATCGATCGAGTCCTGGCCTTGTCCAGGTATTGATCCAGTTACTGATCCAGTTATCGATCGAGTCCTGGCCTTGTCCAGGTATTGATCCAGTTATCGATCGAGTCCTGGCCTTGTCCAGTTACTGATCCAGTTATCGATCGAGTCCTGGCCTTGTCCAGGTATTGATCCAGTTACTGATCCAGTTATCGATCGAGTCCTGGCCTTGTCCAGGTATTGATCCAGTTACTGATCCAGTTATCGATCGAGTCCTGGCCTTGTCCAGGTATTGATCCAGTTACTGATCCAGTTATCGATCGAGTCCTGGCCTTGTCCAGGTATTGATCCAGTTACTGATCCAGTTATCGATCGAGTCCTGGCCTTGTCCAGGTATTGATCCAGTTATCGATCGAGCCCTGGCCTTGTCCAGGTATTGATCCAGTTACTGATCCAGTTATCGATCGAGTCCTGGCCTTGTCCAGGTATTGATCCAGTCATTGATCGAGTCCTGGCCTTGTCCAGGTATTGATCCAGTTATCGATCGAGTCCTGGCCTTGTCCAGGTATTGATCCAGTTACTGATCCAGTTATCGATCGAGTCCTGGCCTTGTCCAGGTATTGATCCAGTTATTGATCGAGTCCTGGCCTTGTCCAGTTATTGATCCAGTTACTGATCCAGTTATCGATCGAGTCCTGGCCTTGTCCAGGTATTGATCCAGTTATTGATCGAGTCCTTGGCCGGGCTTTGTTGTGCAGTTCCTGGGCTCTGCTGTGGGCTGATGGTCAGAGCGCGGCTTTTCCATGTGGTCTGGCCATTGTCCGTGTGTGCACTGAGTCTCTCGGTTCATTTCTAAATTGGGTGTTTTTGTTGTTGAGCCATGAGGGTTCTTTATGTGTTCCGCACAGGCAGCCTTCTCAGACAGTGGATGTGCAGATGCTTCCTCTCGTTCTGTAATTGTCTTCACGTTCACAGTATTGTCCTCTGTGCACTTGGGTTTGAGTTCCATGGCGTCCGCTTGATCCATTTCCTCCGATGCTCATGCCCTTATTTTTATTTCATTTTGGCCACACCACGTGGACTGTGGGATCTCAGGTCTCCGCCCGGGGATTGAACCCCGTCCCTCGGCAGTGAACGTGCAGCGTCGTAACCACTGCACACCAGGGAGCTCCTTCGTGTCCTTAGTTTTCAGTTTACAGTGATCGCCGGCAGACCGTGTGTATTTTTTGATACCTGAGGCCACCAAACCCTGCTTCTGGAGCATAGGAAACTGGACCCGAAGGCAGTGTCTTCCAGTGCGTCTGTCTCTCAGACTGTGGAGCCGTGCATTATGTTCTGCATTCCCTTACGCGTTGCCCTGTGAGCCCTCAGGAGGTGTTGTTGCCCCTCCATCCGGCCCATGCTCTCCGGGCACCTAGCCTGTCTCCTGTGCAGCCCTGAGGGCGGTGTGAATCCTGTCCTCGTGGAGCTCACCGTCTACTGGGAAAGAGAGGGTGAAATAAGTCATCACAAAAATGGCACTAATGGCAAAGAATTCGCCTGCCAGTGCAGGAGATGTAAGAGACGCGGGTTCGATCACTAGGTGGGGAAGATCCCCTGGGGGAGGGGATGGCAACCCACTCCAGGATTCTTGCCTGGAGAATCCCATGGACAGAGGAGCCTGGTGGGCTACAGTCCATGGGGACGTAGAGTTGGACACAACTGAGCGACTGAACACCCCCCGCCCCCCCCCCCCGACACATGCTATATGTCATTAGCTGATAGGTGGAAGAGTGTAATTTTTTTTTAAACTTAACAGAATTAGTTTAATACATTGTAGTGACTTACACTCTCTAGGTACTAATACTCGGTTTTTCTTTTTTTTCTGTGGCAGGAAACAAATTTATTACCTTATGTCCAAGATGTCATCAATTGTAAAATACACCGTTGGTTAGAAAACAGCTTTTTGAGAGACAGGGAGAAAAAGCAGCCTGGTTAATGGACCCATCAGCTTTAAGACATATTCTGATTCATTAAAATGGGAGCAAGTGTGTGTCTGGCAGTGGAGGAAGTCCGCCATGATAGTTGCTGGTTCCCACTTGTAAAGCATCTGCTGGGTGCCAGGCCCCACCCGAGCTGTTTCACTAAGTCCCTGACTTGTTGGGTCACCCAGAGGCAGACGTTAGTCCCAGTTCATGTTAGGAAATGGAGCGGGGAGGCGTCCAGGTCGCTCTCCCAAGACCACACAGTCAGGAAGCTGGGCTTGGAAGGCAGGTCCTCTGAATTCCAAAGTGCTTTCCCTGTCAATAGCTTCTTCTATGGGCTAAGGAGTCAGAGGTGAGTTCTCTCCGAAAGAACAGTTTGTGCTTGTAATACTTGAAATATATCCTGAATCTGGCAAGGTGACCGGGAAGGGCAGAGGTAACACAGAGCTGTCATCTGATCGGCCTTCAAATACTGGACCTTAGTGGTAAGATGATAACTGGAGAGAGGATTACTCAATGTCCAGATAGAGGAGAGCCAAGAATGAGCCTGAGTCAAGGTTAACCCAGCCCCTTGCTGGGGGCTGGACGGAGGTGGTGACCAACCACCAGGCTCATTCTAGGCCTGTGGACACTGCAGCAAGCTTTCATCCTACAGACCATCCTGTGTCTTCCTCACGGTCATCCCATGTCTTCCTCAAGGTCATCCCTTGTCTTCGTCTTTGACTCTTTGCTAAAGAAGTAGACACCTTTGGAGAAGAATTGAGTTTTTCCCAAAGCCTTTCTTAAAGAGGGAGAGAGGTTCTGATCCATCATCACGAGCCAGCTAGCAGTCATTTAGTGCCGGAACAAGTCATAAAGCAACAAGTTGGGCGTGTGGTTAGTGGTCCAAGATAGTTGCCTTGTGCCTGACTGTGGGACTGAACATTTTGCTCTGTGAGCTGTGGATGTGGCCCTTCCTCTGCGGTCACCCCAGGGCAGCCCCTCTCAGGAGCCTGTCTTGACCCCTGACTCCTGACCAGGAGGCTCCCGGGCTGTCTGTCTGTCTGCCTGCCCGTCTGTCTAGCTGTTGTGTTTGGAGAGACAGCGAAACCCCCATCAGTGGATTCCCAACGTAGCACAGCTTTTTGGAAGGGTGGTGGCAGGGATCTGGACAAAGCAAGGGTGGAGTCAGGCAGGATGGGGCTGGGGGTGTGGGTTTGTGAAAGAGACGTGCCCCCTGGACCTGACTGGAAGGAGCTCACAGAGAAACTGCCAGAGGAGGACTGTGCTCAGTCTTGACGGAAAGCTGTTTGGACGGTGGCTGAGACAGCATCAGGGCGGGGGCCCCCGAGTCCCCGCCCGGACGTGTGCAGGGCTGAAGGTCACGGCAGCGGGGTGCCGGCTGCTGTGGCCCTGTGGGCCCGGGGCAGGAGGGGCGGCTGGCTCGGGGCCCTGGGGCTCCAGCTCCTGTCTCGCCCTGGCTGTCCTGCTGGGCCTCTTTGGCAGGATCGGAACCTCGGGGATGGTGGCGGAGGCCACCACGATGGCAGCAGCAGTGGCTCCAGAAGCCTCGCACAGTCTTCTCCCCTGGTGGTCGTGGTCCATGGGGATGCGGTGGTACACCCCCCGTCCCCGCCACGGGGCGGCTGTGGTCATCGTGACCCACCGCTCAGGGGAGCCCTGCACGCCAGCTGCCTCCCCTCAGCAGCACCAGCACAACACTTCTTCTTTGGTTAAAAAAGGTGTTGTAGATTGAGGTGTAATCGGCTTACAGTGTTTTATTGTTATAACTGTATTAGTTTCAGGTGCACAACACAGTGATTCAAAGTTTATAGATTATACTCTATTTAAAGTTATCAAAGTCATGGGCTTCCTTGATAGCTCAGTTGCTAAAGAATCCACGTGCAACGTGGGAGACCTGGGTTCGATTCCTGGGTCAGGAAGATCCCCTGGAGAAGGGATAGGCTACTGACTCCAGTATTCTTGGGCTTCCCTGGTAGCTCAGCTGGTAAAGAATCCGCCTGCAATGCAGGAGACCTGGGTTTGATCCCTGGGTTGGGAAGATCCCCTGGAGAAGGGAACAGCTACCCACTCTAGTATTCTGGCCTGGAGAATCCCATGGACTCTATAGTCCATGGGGTCGCAAAGAGTCGGACACGAGTGAGCGACTTTCACAGTTATTATAAAATATTGGCTCTATTCCTTGTTCTGTGCAGTGTCTCCTTGTAGTCTGTTTACTTTCTAGGGAGCAGCGTGTATCCGAGGGCAAGGTCATATTTTATTGCAGGTTTGTTGTATCTTATATGATTGACAGTCTCCCATTATTGTGGGAAATGTTATATGTACATTGATACAATTAAATATGTTTGAGAGGAGGATAAAATTACCTAATTCTGCTTTTGACTTTAGTGAGTATCCTTTCCTTGGTTCCAGAGGTTAACATGAAGTTTGTAAGGACTTTGTTATTTATTTCTAGATGAACTGAAAACTGGCATTAGCAGTAGTTTTCTGTTTGATTCCTTAAAAATCAGTCTCTTTTTAAAACCATTGTCTACTTTATAACAGTTTTTATTTATTTTTTTTAAACATTTATTTTTATTTATTTGGCTACATAGAGTCTTAGTTGTGGCATGTGGGATCTAGTTCCCTAACCAGGGATCGAACCCAGCCCCCCTGTATCAGGAGCGCAGAGTCTTAGCCACTGGACCACCAGGGAATTCCCTATAACGGTTTTTAAAATAATTTTTATATTTTTAATTTTTTTTTCTTTTTTTTTAACTCTCTGCACTGTTTGTGGGCCCTTAGTTCTCCAACCAGGGATTGAACCCATGCCCTGTCCAGTGAAAGCGCAGAGTCCTAACATTGGACCCCCAGGGAATTCCCAAGATTTTTTTTTAAAGAGTTTTTATCTGAATCTTTACCAAGCCTTATTGTTTGTTACTAGCATTCCATTCCATTTTAATTATCAGGATTATAAAGTTCAATGAAGACAACTAACTGAAGTAAACAAAAGCCAGCAATTCATACAAATAGCTAAATTCCAAACAGCACAAATTCAGCGCTTCTTTAATGCGGATTTTTTCCCAGCCTGGGTGCTTTTGACCCTGGGAGCAGGCTAATTCCACGCCGCGAGGCTGTCCTGTACCTGTGAGGTGTGGGCAGCGTTGCTGGCCTTCACCCGGTAGGCATCTGCAGTGACCCCACTTGTGACAACCAGAAATGGTGGCTGAGGGCCCTTGGTCAGGAGGGGAGGGCGATGGAGTCAGGCCTGGTTGGGAATCACTGAGGGTCCCTGAGAAGGACATTGCATCCCGTCCGCAGAGAGGTCACGCCGTGTGTGAGGACCAGCTGGCTAGCCATCTCTGTGTGTTTCAGTGGCTGTCTTTGTTGGCAGCTTATTTGGGGCTTCCCTGGTAGCTCAGCTGGTAAAGAATCTGCCTGCAATGCAGGAGACCCCGGTTCAATTCCTGGGTCAGGAAGATCCCCTGGAGAAGGGACCAGCTACCTACTCTAGTATTCTGGCCTGGAGAATTCCATGGGCTGTATAGTCCATGGGATCGCAAAGAGTTGGGCAACACTGAGCAACTTTCACTTTTGGGGCAGTGGAAATTTACGAAAAGAATCCCCACATACATGTGCCCGGCCCTTTGTCATGCCCGTTTCACCCCATGGAAAGTCCTGCATCTAAAGCCTGGATAGGCAGTGCCTGGGGTCTTCCAGACAGCACACTGACCAGTGTTCTGGGGCCATGGTGACCAAGCACAGTACCACAGACGAGGGGCCAAGTCAGGGTGTCACAAAGGCCACACGCTGCCCAGAGGCTGAAAGGGAGGGTCCCTCCCACCTCTTCCCGCTTATGCTGACACCCCCGATGCTGGGCTGTGGCCGATTCCGACCAGTCTCCACCTCCGTCCGCACGTGGCCCCCTGTCCCCGTGTCCTCTCCTCCTCTGACCCTCGGAGGACGCGGGCCGTTGGATTCAGGCCCCTGCGGGTAACCAGGGCAGTCTCCCCTCCAGATCCTCACTTAATGCCTGCAAGCACCCTCCCTCTCAGCGGGGCCACGTTTCAGGAGGTCAGGTTAACCTGCGGCAGCTGCACGCAGGCACCCCGTGGCTCATTCACGGGGTGGGGGGGGTCTTGGACATTTTCATCTGCTTTTCCATGTGGCCCTCACAGCTGCCATCTGTCATCTTTTTTTGTGTGTGGTCTGTGCAGATTCGGGACCCGAAGACCCTTCTTCCCATGCCAGGAGTGATGGTTGGCGACATTGGGAAGAAGCTGGGGCAGAACGGCCTGGACAACGGGTGAGTCTGGCCCTTGAACTTGACTTCAGTGCCGCCCCCATGCCCTGCAGGACGCGCAGCACTTCTGAATGAGAGACTGTGTCAGGAAGAGCTGGGTTCTGCTCCAAGGCCAGCCTCAGGAGCTGTTAAGTGGCTCTGCGTGCCGAGCAGCGAACTTGCCTCTGGCCCGTGGCCATGCCAGCTCTCAGCCCAGAGTCAGGGTCTGAGCCCCTGAGTCCTCAGCCCATGGCCCCGGCATGCTCCCCCAGCCCGGAGCTCAGGCGCCCAGCCCGCGCCCAGCCCGCGCCTGTGCCGCTCTGCGGGCAGAGCTGGGCTTGGGGTAGTGGGGGCAGTGTGGTCTGAGGCGAGACCTGGGCTTGGGGAGCTAGACGGGGGGCAGGTGGGCAGGGGAGCCATGTCAGGAGGGGCCTTGCAGCCTCCCGGAGGGATTCTCCGGCTCATTCAGGGCACGAGTTTGAGAGTGAAACGAGTTGGGTCCAGATCCCAGGTCCACCTCTGCCTCTCGGGCTGAACTTCAGCAGCTTTCCCGGCCTGCCTGCTGGTCCGTGATGTCCCCATGGTGGCCCCCTGCCTGGGGGCCGGCTGTGTCTTCCCAGCTGTGTGCCACCCGTCGGTGCCCCTCACCTGAGCGTTCGCTCAGGACTCACCTGTCGTCTCCCAGAAAGCCTGGCTGAGATGCTTTGCGCCTTCTGTTCTCCTGAGATGCTTCCCTGTGGGGAAGCAGAGCTGGGAGATTCCTTAGTCCTGTATGTCACGTTGCATCTTAGGGGCGTCTGTATATCTGCCACTTCATGGGGAGCCAGAGAACAGAGGAGCATGTCCGGCCATAGTTGGAGCCCTGTGGTTACCCTGAGTCTGGTCGTCTTGAATATAAATCAGGAGGCAGGTCGTCTCTGAGACAGAAGCCGGACCAGGTGGTCAGCCTCCCAGCACCCTGAGGGTCCGTTCAGCTATCCCTCCCTGTAAGCTGGGGAGCTGGTGGCCTGGGGAGTGTCTCAAATCTCCACTCGGACCCTCAGAACAGGTGAGGCCCCAGCCTGTGCCTGAGAAGGGGAGGACCATCGATTTTTCACTCTGTAGCTAGAGGAGAAGACGGCAGGACAATTGTTAAAAAGCAAAACCAGGCACACGCACGCACAAGCCATCTAACTAATTCCCGTCGAGAGTTCTGAGCGCCTCTCTCACTGGCCTGTTTGAAGACCTGTTAATTACCCGGTGGGGAGGGGGCATCGTTCCGTCCATCGCGGCTCGGTGTGGGCGCAGGGGGCCCCTGGCAGGGACAGGCTACGTGCCGCTTAGTCTTCTGGGCGGTCGGCGGCATCAAGGGGGCCACGCGAGCGGCAGGGTGGAAGGCCCTGTCCCCTTTTGAGCTCCGCGTGCCCTAGCGCGGGGCCCAGAAAGTGTGTGTGCGGCCGCTGTGTCTACAGCAGGTCTGTGTGGCCACATGCAGCCTGGCGGCGGGAGGTGACCCTCCAGCCGTGCACATGCGCCGCCGGGTCCCTGCAGTCTGTGGACGGCATCAGGTGGTCTCATGGGTTCCTGGTCCCGTACGTCTTGGTTTTTACGAGTTAGAACCTTTACCCTTGTTTTGGGACGTCAGTGAAACGCTCTGCACTTGGTTCCCCCCAAGTCAGCTCCTGCTTTAGAGGCAGTACTGTGTCTAACTACAGCGCCCCCACCTCCGCCCCAGGAGACGCAGTCACACTGACAAAGCAAAAAAAAAGCTCAGTTGTATCCGACTCTTTGCCACCCCATAGCCTGTAGGTCTGCAGGCTCCTCTGTCCATGGGATTCTCCAGGCACGAATACTGGAGTGGGTCACCGTGCCGTCCTCCAGGGGATCTTCCCCACCCAGGGACTGAGCCCCGGTGTCCCACACTGCAGGCAGAAGCTTTCCCCCCGGGCCACCAAGGCCCTCCTCCAAGTAAACGCGCCCCGTGGGAGGAGCACAGCTCCTCTAAGTCTCAGCCGTGCCAGCCCGGGGGCCACCAGGGGGCAGCATGGTGACCACCCTGAAGCCGGGCCCAGAGCGGCTCCCCGAGATCAGAGTCGCCGTTCCGAGCCGCTCCAAGGGGATGCTCGGCGGACGGGACGTGGAAGCCGCCTCACTCGGCCCCTGAGCCTCTGAAGGTTCTGTGGTGCCTGGGGCCCCTCAGACCCCCTGCCCTGGGCTGCGGCTGGGATGGGGCCAGGGGCCCGCCTTGCTGGGCACGCCGCTGTCCCTGCTGGCCGTGGGGCGCATGCCCAGCAGAGGGCGCCCGGGATCTGAGTCCCTGCTTACCCCGCTTGCCCGCTGCTTGCAGGGCAGTGCTGTGATGGGGTGACTTTTTGTCCAGAGACCTCTTGTTTTTAAAAAAAAAAAAGCAGTAACAATGTGTAGGTGGATCACAGGAGTGCATGAGTCTGCAAGAAGGCTGTCTAGAAATCAGCGAAGTGAAAGTCACTCAGTCATGTCCAACTCTGTGACCCAATGGACTGTACAGTCCATGGAATTCTCCAGGCCAGAACACTGGAGTGGGTAGTCTTTCCTTTCTCCAGGGGATCTTCCCAACCCAGAGGTCGAACCCAGGTCTCCCGCATTGCAGGCTGCTTCTTTTTTTCTTAATTATTTATTTTAATTGGAGGCTAATTACTTTACAATATTGTGGTTTTTGCCATACATTGACATGAATCAGCCACGGGTGTACATGTGTCCCCCATCCCGAACCCCCCTCCCACGTGCCTCCCCATCCCACCCATCTGGGTTGTCCCAATGCCCCGGCTTTGAGTGTCCTGTATCATGCATCGAACTTGGACTGGTGATCAGTTTCACATATGGTAATAGACATGTTTCCATGCTATTCTCTCAAATCATCTCACCCTCTCCCACAGAGTCCAAAAGTCTGTTCTTTATATCTGTGTCTCTTCTGCTGTCTCGCAGATAGGGTCATCGTTACCATCTTTCTAAATTCCATATATATGCGTTAATATACTATATTCATGTTTTTCTTTCTGACTTACTTCACTCTGTATAATAGGCTCCAGTTTTCATCCACCTCATTACAACTGACTCAAATGCAGGCAACTTCTTTACCAGCTGAGCCACAAGGCAAGCCCAGGAACACCGGAGTGGGCAGCCTATCCCTTCTCCAGCGGATCTTCCCGACCCAGGACTCAAACCGGGGTCTCCCACATTGCAGGCGGATTCTTTACCAGCTGAGCCACAAGGCAAGCCTGTCTAGAAATCAGAGGCAGGTGTTAATTACGTGGATTACTTTTAGTCAAATAACTCTGAAAGTAAGATAGTAAAGACCCCTCGGGTGAGCCGTTGAGCCTCACCTTCAAGATGGGCTACAGGCCTCCTCACGCCTGCTCAGTGGCCTCTCTGGGAAGCGTTTGGTCCCAGCTGGGGCTGGGATGGCCTCACGGAGCAAGGAAATTGTTAGGACCTGACGTGGGGGGTCCAGGAGGGAAGGGGTGCAGAGCCAGGGAGCCAGACACACTGCAAGTTCATGTCCCCGTGTCATACCCGTTGCCACCCAGCGCATGCGCATACACACACCTGTGTCCTCCATGGACACGGGATTCCGGCCTTCAGGGTGGCCAGCGTTGACTGTCTGTGACTCAGAAAAGAACGTGTGAAATTCTGATTTCGGTTAAACCCCAGACGACTCTTTTTGCAAGTATAAATACGTTCAGCCTGGTTCTGTCCCCCGAGTGGCAGGGGCGGGTGAAGATTTTCCACTCCTTAAAAAGGGTGCTCTGAGTTCACAGCAGCAGACTTGGAAGAGCATCCCGCGGCTTTCCAGTAATGGGCTGGACCACACGGGGGGCGTCGGCACTGCGGCCAGGCGTTCTCAGGACGCAGGGGTCTGAGCCCCACAGACGCCTGCCGCGTGGCCGCCTCCAGGCCAGCATGTTCAGACGCGCAGGCTGGGCCTGTGTTTTGGACATGGGAGGGAGACCCCTTGCCTGGATGCTGGCGGAGGCCTTGTGGCCTGAGGTGCAGAATCCTAGGAGATTCCGAAGGGATTTGGGAGGGGCCTCCAGATGCCCCACCCCTGGCCTTGACTCTTCCCCGGGGCACGGGCTGTCAGCCCCAGGCTCTCCCCCGACTTGGGGGTATGTGCAGACTGTACCAGCTCCCAGGGGATGAAGTCTCACTCCTGGCTGGCTCATCCATGGCCCTGATTGCTTGGTTCCGGGCACGTGGCCCCTTATAACAGGTTGGCTTAGCTCCCATTGAGAAGCGGGTGACTCAGCAAGCAACGTGAATGGGACCACCGTCTTGTGGTGCTGTGGGACCACCCAGGGCTCATCATGGGGAGGGGTGGGGAGGCGTGGCAGGCCTCTCAGAGGAGGTGGCAGTGCTCAGAAGACCCACCTGCCTGTCTGGAGAGGGCCTGGCCGGCTTGAAGGTTGCACGCAGATGCTGCCTGGCGGGGGGCCGCGAGGAGTGGGCAGCGGTCCTGTCGGAGGGCTTACCACATCCTCCTGCGGGTTTCGATTCTGTTGGTCCCAGGGATCCAGGGTTCTTGTGCCAGGTGTGACCATCCCTAGCTGAAGTTTGCAATAGGCCTTTGCCCCCGTGTGCGGGATGGGGCGGGGACGAGGTGGGGCCTGGAGAGACCAAGGTGGAGACTGTTGAGGAAATCAGGCCAGAAGAGGCAAAGACTGTGAGGACGTTGGGTTGGAGGTGGAGGTGAGCATGCTGACTCTGGACGGTGGGGGGGTGCCGTGCGTGACCTGGGGATCTGGGGAGGGGCTGGGGGTGAGCTGGGGGCGAGGAGCCGTCCGCCTTCTCTGAAGGACGCTGCTCTCCCTCACAGAACTGCTTCCTGTGGTTCAGTAAGAGAGGGTCGCGTGTGGCACTGAAAATGCTTAGAAATCCGATAAGGCGCTATGCTTGTGTGCGTGAGTCGTGTCCGCTTTAGTCCCGTCCGACTCTTTGTGACCCCGTGGACTGCCGCCCACCAGGCTTCTCTGTCCATGGGATTCTACAGGCAAGAGTGCTGGAGTGGGTTGCCAGGCCCTCCTCCAGGGGGTCTTCCCAACACGGGGATCAAGCCTGTGTCTTTTAAGAGTACTGTATTGGGCTTCCCTTGTGGCTCAGCTGGTAAAGAATCTGCCTGCAATGCGGAAGACCTGGGTTCAATTCCTGGGTTGGGAAGATCCCCTGGAGATGGGAAAGGCTATCCACTCCAGTATTCTGGCCTGGAGAATTCCATGGACTGTATAGTCCATGGGGTCGCAAAGAGTTGGACACGACTGAGCGACTTTCACTTTCCTAGATCACTTTGGGCTTCCGCGGTGGGTCAGAGGTAAAGCGTCTGCCTGTAATGCTGGAGACCTGGGTTCGATCCCTGGGTCGGGAAGATCCCCTGGAGAAGGAAATGGCAATCCACTCCGGTATTCTTGCCTGGAGAATCCCAGGGATGGAGAAGCCTTGTGGGCTACAGTCCACGGGGTTGCAGAGAGTCGGACACGGCTGAGCGACTTCACTATGTTGGAGGCGAATTCTTTCCTACTCGTGCCACCTGGGAAGCCCAAGCTGCTATAGCACGTGTTGACATAGATGGTTTGGGGGTCTTTGGTTCGGCAGTTTCTGCACCACACGGTACTCTGCACAGCCTTGCCCCTGGGCTACTGTGAGTTAGAGTTTCCTTCCTGACAACCGTAGAACATACCTTTGACTACTGACATATGCATGACCCCTGGGTATGTGTGTGCAGGCGTGTTCTCCAGCTGCTCAGGGGAGCTGACCCCTGCATCTGGAGCCCCGACGGGACAGCTCATCCTTCTGCTTGACTTGGGAGGTCTGAAGCCCAGTTTGCTGGCTCTGTCGCCCCGTGTGGGGGACTCTGGTGCGGGGTCCAAGCGCGAGAGTCAGAGATCCTCACATTTGGGAAGAAGGTCCGCGTTTCCTACTGAAGGACGTCATCCGGGCTTGTCCAGCCACGCCGAGGGCATTCCCTCCAGCGTCGTAGGAGCCTGTGTGCGGCCCTGTGACCTGAGTGTCCCGGGGCAGCTGGGGGTCGGGGGTCTCCATCATCACCAACAGACAGCGGCCGATCTGTCCCATGTGGAACCCAGCGCTCACACCACAGGTTCTGTTCAAGCTCCTTTGGGGAGAGCTAGGGCTGTCCAGGGGCTAGGAATCCAGGTTCTCACTGCCGAAGGCCCGGCTTCAGCCCCGGTCCAGGAACCGAGGTCCCTCGAGCCGTGCAGGGCAGCAAACAACAGCAACAAACTGCAAGAATAAAGAACCAGGTAAAGCCTGCCTTCACAGAGAGAGATCTGTCGAGACGCCCCGTCTCCCGTGTCTTCCCTCCTGAGTTTGCTCTCGGGGTTTTCTGGTCTCTGGGGGGTTACGTCACCTTCTGAGCTGTCCTCCACTTTGATTTGACCGGGTTTCGGGAGGGGAAGGTGAGCCCTGGGGCCGTCCCCCCGTTTAACCAGAAGCCGTGTCCCCGCACAGGTTCGCCATGTTCCACAAGGTCAGGATTCCGCGCCGGAACCTGCTGAACCGCTCGGGAGATGTCACCCCTGAGGGCGCCTACATCACCCACGTCAAGGTACCAGAGCCTCCAGGCCGGGGTGGGGGAGTCTGTGGGTGAGGAAACCGGCCCCTCTGGGTCCACAGGACATGCACCCCGCTGGTGGGGGAGGAGAGTCGCCAAGGGAGCCAGAGGCCTGTGCCAACCTCTCCAGGCTCAGGTCCTGGCGCCTCCACCAAGGAAGGGGGCGCCTGGGTCCACCGCACCCCCGGGGCCCCAGGCATGACATCCCCCCACAATCCTCACCAGCCCCCTGGGGTTACAGCTGGGGAGGCTGCCCCCACCAGCGCTGTTCCCCACAGTGGGGAGAGGGAAGGGTTGCCCGCTGGGCCGGGCACCCACAGAGGCAACCGTGTCCTCCAGCGTCTGGGACTGACTGCGCCCAGAAGTTCATTGAGGGTGGACGTGTAGGGGCCCGGCTCTGGGCCCTTCCAGACCTGGCCAGGTCAGGGTGGCTGAGCCCCCCCGGTCCTGAACCCACGGCCGGGATGACCCAACGCCACACGTAGGCTGCTCGGAGCCAAGAGCAGCGCTTCAGTGAACGTGACAAGTACCTGCTGATCAGGAGAGAGGCTGGAAGTGACACAGGAGGCCATTCAGAAGAGGAAACAGTGATATGAAGCCCGGAAGTGTGGAGGCAGACGAGAGAAGCCAGCGGAGGGGGTTGACCCAGCGGGGTTGAACTTCAGTGAAGCAAGCGGCAGGCAGGGATGCAGAGAACCCAGAGACAGTTCCTAGAAACAGCAGAGACAGAGGGCTCGAAATTATGGAAGGAAGACTATCTCGACTGCGGGGGCCCCACACAGGGAGTCAGGGGCTCTCACCCCAGGCTCACTGTCAAGAAATACCAGAACCTCAGAGAGAAGACCCCGAGCCCTCCCCGGGACAGGAGGCAGAGCGGCTCCCATGGAGTCAAAGCCCCTTGACCTCCGATTTTCCCAGTGTGACTCTGGCCAAAAGCAGTCAGGGAGAGGACGCTTCTCACCACGGAGGGAAAACAACCGTACACGTGCTTCTTCTAAACTCAGCGAAGCTGTCATTTGTGCACGAGAACATAGTAAATATTCATGGCCAGGGGCTTGGAAGGCTGCCGCACAAATACCAAAGTGGACATAGTTTTGGAAGAAAAGCCTGAACAATAAAATAAATGAGGCGGGAGAAGGAGCATGGGGTGAGGGAGGCGCACATGATCACGTTGTTTGGTGAGACTGTCAGGCCGATGTACCCAAGTGCCACCAATGGGCCTGAAACCCAAGCTGCTATGAGGGACCATGGTAAGCACCTTGAAACTCAGAACAAATTGAAGATAGATGCACACAGACAATTGCTAGTTTTAAACCCTGATGTTGGAAAATATTGAGGGTGGGAAGAGAAAGGGCCGACAGAGGATGAGATGGTAGGATGGCATCACCGACTCGATGGACGTGAGTTTGAGTAAACTCCGGGAGGTGGTGATGGACAGGGAGGCCTGGCGTGCTGCCATCCATGGGCTCACAAAGAGTCGGACACGACTGGGAAGCTGAACAACAGCAAACAACAAAAGATCACAGAGAATAACGGATGACCGTCCTGATGACTGTCACAGCCCTTGGGATGGTGGCTCGACAGGGAGGCAGGAATCCCGGGGGAGCGGGGCGGGAGCTCTTTTTACGAAGAAGATGTTGGCACCAGTTGTGTTCTCCGCCCTCGCCTCCAGCCTCGCTCTCGGCAGAGCTGCGTCTGATCCTCGGTGAGGTTGAGAGCAGGGCTTCCTGCCTCCACGTGGCAGCTTGTAGGTCTGCACAGATAGCGTGTCTGCCCGGGGCCCCTTCCTCCTGTGGGCTGGGTGTCCCCCGTACCGTCCTGTGATGGGCATACCGCACCCGCCCCCCGTGCTGCTCAGCTCCAGGGGGGGCTGTGTCTGGGGTGCCCCAGGGGCTGGGCCTGGAGTGTTGATCGAGGACAGGCGCGCCCCTCCACCCCCGTGCCCATCCCCGAGGTGGCCCGCGGGTCCCGGGTCCACCGCCACCCACTCTCCTCCCGCAGGATGTGGGGCAGCGCTTCAGCAAGTCCCTGGGCAGCCTGTCGTTCGGCCGGGTCGCCATCATGGGCATGTCCATCGTGAACCTGAAGCTGGCCGTGTCCATCACTCTGCGCTTCTCGGCCACCAGGCATCAGTTTGGGCCGACCGATGGGGAGGAAGTCCCGGTGCTGGAGTACCCGATGCAGGTACAGCGTCTGCGGCGTGAGTTCGCTGTCGTTCCGTCTGCGTGCAAACACACCGCTTCTCTCAGGTCTCTGCAGCTGGGCCACGGGGGCTGACCAGGCCTCTTCTGGAGTTACAGGGTGACCCGTAAGGAGTGTGGCCTCGGGGGCCATAGATGGTCTCCACGATGGTCTTTAGTTGAAAAGAAATGAGGGGCCTGGAGGAGGCGGTGGAGGGGGGCGGGGGGGAGGCAGGTGTGCACGCTCACCCCTTCTACAGGGTCCTGCGTGTCCAGGCCGCGCTCTGACATGCCCGTTCATCCCGGGATGCAGTGGCTGAGTGTGCAACGGTGTTCACAATGACATCCTGTAGCAGAGGGGACACTCCCCGCTCCAGGTCCTCCAAGGTCGAGGCAGCCCTGGACGGCAGGGGGGCACCCCAAGCTGAGCATCACCTGGGCGCCTGGTCGGGGTGGGGGTGGGCGTGGCATTTGATCACAGGGCGCCTCCACCAGCCTCTCTGTATCCCCAGCCCTTCCATGCCCACCGTGCGGCTGCCCTGCGTACCAGTGGGCTGGTAGTTGTCCCCAGGTCACAGGTGGGGCCCCAGAGGCAGCAACTAGACCGAGCCCTGGTCTTGGGCCCAGCGATGTGTGAGCAAAGGCATGTTTGAGTGAGAGTTTCAGGACATTGTAACTGGATCGAATTTGACCCTTAGTAGGACCATGAACCTGGTTTAATACCAAATGGGCAAGTGAGGAAGAGCCTCATGCCTAGCTTGTGCCTGGCTGGCACGCAGCGTCCGCTGCAACGCTGGACCCCGTGGTCCTCGTGAGGTCACAGCGTGCCCCCTGCCTGGGCTTGAAGCCTGGTCTCAGTGGTCACCAGGGCCCACCCGAGCCCCACGTGTGGGCTTCTGACCCCAGGTCCACCCCGCTCTGCTGTGCGCCCGTGGGCGAGGCGCTGAGCCTGTCTGTGCTCCAGTTTTCTCCCTTGCACGTTGGAGTAGTGATCACACCCCTCTGTGGGTGGTTGCAAGGATTAGCCACGTTCAGGCGTGGGCACGGTGACCACACACAGGGATCGCAGACGACGATGGACGATGGAGCTGGTGGCGGTGGTGCTGACTGTCTTCCAGGTCCTCTCAGCCTCCCCCTCCATCCAGGCAACAGCGGACTCGCGCTGGTGAAACAGACGTGCTCCCTCGGCCTCTGGGAGCCTGTTTCCCCTCCTGGCTCGGGGGCAATCGCTGTCTTCCTCCTAGGATCACAAAGGGCAAGGCGTGGCCAGGTCGGCCCCGCGCTTGAGCATGGTGACATGGCTGTCTCAGTTCCCTGTATCATAGTTCACGTTTACTCTGGCTGAGGGACCTCGTGGCCGGGACAGCAGAGAACGCGGTGCAGGGCAGTGCCCGTGGGCACTTCTCCCTGCGTGGGCCTGTTGGGATGGCCGGGAAGACCAGCCATGCTGGAAGGGCATCAGGGGCAGGTGTCGTGGCGGGGAGGGGTGGGGGGTTCCGGGAGAGATGCAGGGCCTTGTGCATTAACATGGGGACCGTGGGGGTGGGTTCCTGCTGCCCCCGCCCTGTCGTCTTGCCAAGGATGTGCGGGTGTTCAGGCGGGGATTTGTCCATTTCAGCAATGGCGCTTACTGCCGTACCTGGCCGCCGCCTACGCCTTGGACCACTTTTCCAAATCGCTCTTCCTGGATCTGGGGGAGCTTCAGCAAGGCCTCCTGAGGAAAGACCGGAGCGTCAGGCAGGTGAGAGCCCCTGCTTTTTCTCTGCTGTGTTTGCCCTCATTTAAATCTCACTGGATTTGAACAGGGCAGGCTCAGCCTTTCTTTCAAAACAACCTGGGTGTATGGATCTGCAGGGATGATGCAGGCTTGTCCGACTTGGCCCCTGGGCGTGTCCTCCCGGAGCCCGTAGTGGGGATGGGGGCCGTGTCGGCACGTGTCCGCATCCCCCATTCTTGAGGACATGCTGACACAGCTCCTGGTTCCCGTCTGTGAGTTCAGCTGTTGTTCTCCTCTGGGGAACAGGATGCTTTTGCAAAATCCACATTACCGGCCCCCTCTGTGGATTTCACGGTTCTGATCCTTTCGTAAACAACCCCACAAAGGTCTGCATCCAACTGACTGGATGTGAGCTGACAGGCGCGGCTTTGTGCCAGACGCAAGTGTGCAGACCCGCTGAGATCAGCCCCTATGCCCAGAAAGGGTCTTCTGGTAATTTCCGTGGGCAGACACCTCACACGTTGATTTTTTTTCTGCTTCACGCTGTCTCCTGGGCAGAGCGAAAAGGCACAGTGCAAGTGCGTCTGAAAACTCATCAGAAATGCTACAGAGAGCGGGCTTACTGACCACGCCCTGAAAAGCCTGTATCAAATTAGCACATTTTGGAATATCCAGCATAGACGCCCAGGCGTCAAGAGGTGGAGCGTGAAGGGGTGGGGGGCTGGCAGGGTGCACAGCCATGCAGTCAGGCTGACGTGACCCCGAGGACCATTTCATCAGGAATGTGGAGCTAATGCATTTCCCCCCCCCCCCGGCCTCAAACATGAGTCACTGAAGTTTTGCCAGCTGACAATGGAATTGTCCTGCTAGTAATGTTTTCAAGGGTCACCATGGTCTATTTTTTTTTCTTTCTGAAGCTCAGTAAAAGTAGTTCAACCCAGGCATGGGTTACAAAGTAGCGCTTCTGTGAAGCTGAAAATGCTGGTAAAACACATCACCTTATTTAGCAGGTGTGTGTAGGTGTGTCTTTCTTGCAATTGTTGCTACTAACGATCACATTGAAGTAAAACAATATTTACTAGATGTGTTAAAACTAGGGACCCTGAGCGGGGCCTGCACAGGGGGTCCTGCATGGCCAGGGCTTTGCAGCCCTCTGGGGCTGCCCCCCGCCCTCACCCCTGGGGGCAGTGTGTCAGCGCTGCCCCCCACCGTTGGGTTTCTTCTTCGTCTGCCCATGAAGGACTGGAGCTTGAGGAGCCGTCCTGTAGACTGTCATGAGCGTGTTCTCCCACGATCAGCCTCCCACCAGGGTCTACCCGCTGAGCAGCCGCAGTTGTTTATCTTCAGCGCTAGGAAGTTGCATGACTAGAGCGCAGGGTATCCACGCGTAGACGAACCCTGTTTCTTAAGCTAAAACTGGGTCTCCTACTGTTGTGGTTGTCAGCCACCTGGGTGAGACCAGAGGCGGTGTAGGCCTTTGAGGCTGAGCTTGGCCCGGCCCCTGACCTCTGGGGTCGGACCCTCTCTTCCCCTGATCTTGTTGGCTTTTCTCCCTCCCAAGGCAGAGCTGCGAAGTGAGATCCACGCCTTGTCGTCGGCCGGCAAGCCCCTGGCCTCGTGGACGGCCCAGCGGGGGATCCAGGAGTGCCGTGAGGCGTGCGGAGGACACGGCTACCTGGCCAGTAGGTTCCAGAGACACGTGGGCTGGTTTCTCTCCTCATCCCTACCCTGTGACTCACACCCGACCGGGGGTCAGCGCACGGCCAACCAGGGGTCAGCACACGGCCAGGGAACAGTGCACGGCCAGGGGCAGCGCACAACCAACCTGGGGTCAGCACACGGCCAGGGAACAGTGCACGGCCAGGGGCAGCGCACAACCAACCTGGGGTCAGCACACGGCCAGGGAACAGTGCACGGCCAGGGGTCAGCGCATAACCAACCTGGGGTCAGCACACGGCCAGGGAACAGTGCATGGCCAGGGGTCAGCGCACAACCAACCTGGGGTCAGCACATGGCCAGGGAACAGTGCACGGCCAGGGGCAGTGCACAACCAACCTGGGGTCAGCACACGGCCAGGGAACAGTGCACGGCCAGGGGCAGCGCACAACCAACCAGGGGTCAGCGCACAACCAACCAGGGGTCAGCACACAGCCAGGGGTCAGCGCAAAACGAACCAGGGGTCAGTGCACAACCAACCAGTGGTCAGTGCATGACCAACCAGGGATCAGCACACAGCCAGAGGTCAGCGCAAAACCAACCAGGGGTCAGCGCACAACCAACCAGGGGTCAGCACACAGCCAACCAGGGGTCAGCGCACAGCCAGGGGTCAGTGTACGGCCAACCAGGGGTCAGCGCCCAGCCAGGGGTCAGTGTACGGCCAACCAGGGGTCAGTACACAGCCAGGGGTCGGTGCACAGCCAACCAGGGGTCAGCACACAACCAACCAGGGGTCAGCACACAACCAACCAGGGAGTCATTGCACGGCTAACCAGGGGTCAGCACACGACCAGGGGTCAGTGCACGGCCAGGGATCAGCGCACAACCACCAGGGGTCAGCGCACAGCCAACCAGGGGTCAGCGCACGGCCAGGGGTCAGCATATGACTGGGATCAGTACATGGCCAGGGGTCAGCACATGACCAACCAGGGGTCAGTGCATGACCAGGGGTCAGCACATGGCCAGGGGTCAGCACACAATCAACTAGGGGTCAGCACATCACCAACCAGGGGTCAGCGCACAGCCAGGGGTCAGCACACGACAGCCTGTGGGCCAAAGGCTATTTCTGTGGATAAAGATTTTTGTAAATAATGGTTTATCAGCACATAGCCGTGACCATTCATTTACACGCTTCCTGTGGCCATGTTCCTGCTCCCCCCACAGAGCTGAGACGTCTCTGCAGACGGCATTTACCGTCTGGAACTTTCCAGAGCAGTTTGGCCGGGCCCTGCTCTCCCAGCCCATCCCTCGGTTCCCTGCCACCTGATGCTCCCTGGCTGAAACCCGGGGGTCACGAGGCAGCGTGGAGACCGAAAGCCAGAACAGAAGGGAGTGTATCGTCCGTTCATCTGAGTTGGAACTTTCTGGTTAATGACTTGGCAGGACCCTGGCCCCGCGTTTTGTTCCGATGAGACACTCTGAGACTTAGCGTCCACTTCTGTCGTTACTGGCGGCTGTTTGAGCAGCTGGTGGGTGGTGCAGAGAGCAGGTGACCGCCAGGCTGGGCCCAGACCCTGCCTCGTCTGTCTCTGCTGGTCGCTGGCTGCGTATCCGAGGGCGAGCTGACCCGCAGCCTGCTCCTTGGTGTTCTTCTCCACAAGGTGGGCTGATGATAGCATGGCACGACAGGAGTCCTTGCAGCGAGTGAGTGGATAAACACACTTGAAGGGTTTAGAGAATGTGGGGCAGGTGGCCTGTGCCCCGTTACTCTATTATTATTATTATGAAAGTGAAAGTCTTACTTGCTCAGTCGTGTCCAACTGTTTGGACTGTAGCCCGCCAGGCTCCTCTGTCCATGGGATTCTCCAGGCAAGAACACTGGAGTGGGCAGCCATGCCCTCCGCCAGGAGGTTTTCCTGACAGAGGGATTGAACCCGGGCCTCCTGCACGGCAGGCTGATCCTTTACCGTCTGAGCCACCAGAAAAGCCCATTATTATTATAATTGTCCTTGTTATTTGCCGCGCCCTGCCTAAGTTCCCGTGTGCTAACCTTCAGTCACCGATGGGTAAACTCTGGTGACTCAGACGAGACGGCAGGAGAACTGGCAGAGACCTTCCTGACGGCTTACTCCTTTGGAGACTTTTAGGCACCGGTTGAGTCTGAGCATCTCGCCGACACTCTGGAGATAGCTGTGTGCTTTCGGTGAAGATGCGTCCCGGTCACTCCTCGTGCGGTGGGGGGCAGGCGGGGGGGCCCTCGACTTCTCCACTCTCTGCGTTACTGACGTGTGGGTAACCGTGGCGCCGCAGAAGTTACTCACCCGTGCGCTTTCTCTTCTGTGCAGTGTTCTTTGTAGTTTTCGTTTGCTGTTATAGCTCACAGAGACGCTGTAAATAGTTTAGAATGAGGAGCTGGAATCGTGAAGCATGCAGACAGCAGAAACGACCGAATCAAGTGTCATCACATAATTCCTTCTGGGCTGAATCCAGTGTGGCCAAACTCAGGGATAAATGTAAAGCCCTTTATCTAGATTTGAATATCAGTTTCTAGTCATCTCTCTAAGGTCGCTCTGAGATCTTCATGTTCGGTGCTCTAACTGTGGCACGGGGCAGCAAGTCAGCGGAAGACGATCAGGGTGTCACAGGTGACCACAAGCCTCATGTCTGCTGTAGAGCACCTTAACACCCTCTTGGGCTGTTCATAGCCGTATGTGAGTGTGAGAAGTTGGGCGTCCTACCCATTCCTCCATCTCAGCCTCACATCTGGAGAACATTCTATTAATATGCCGGAGACCCAGGTGGGGAGGGTCTGGGAAGAATCTTATGAAATCTGTGAAGGAGTCGGGTTCTTTCACTGGTAGGAAAGGCAAGAGAAAAAGAAGCGCTGTCTTCAGATATTTGAGACGTCGCGTGTAAAGAGAAGGGTGCCTTTAGTTGTATGAAGAAGAAGGGCACCCGCCCAGGCAGTCCGCTCCGTCAGTGGGCCCCCCAGAGGGGGCTTTGCCAGGCGATCCGTGAGACTCGTGATGGTCACAGGATGCCGGTGGCAGTGGGCGCTTCCCGGGAGCCTTGCAGGTGTTCCCAGTGTGTCCTTGAAGAGGGAGCAGCCGGATGGATAGGGCGCGCTGCTGGCTGGGGGCGGAGCTGGGCCTGGAGAGGGCGGGAGGTGCTTCGTCCAGTCAGGCTGGGTCTGGGACCTGACCTCAGAGTCCCAGATGGCAGGGGTGAGGGCATCTCTCCCGCCCGCACCCCCAGTGATGAGCACGCCCCCTCGCAGTGAACCGTCTGGGCAGCCTCAGAGACGACAATGACCCCAACTGCACGTACGAAGGTGACAACAACGTCCTGCTGCAGCAGACCAGCAACTACCTGCTTGGCCTGCTGGCTCACCGGGAGCAAGGTGAGGTGGCTGGCGCCCTGCGGGGTGAGGGGGTTCTCAGGGCCCTCTGAGCCAGCTCTTCTGTCAGAATGGACTCTGTTTGCAGGCAGGAAACACATGATCAAACGCGGCTGGACCAGCTTCTGAAGTGATGGGCCGGGGCGGGTGGCGGTGGGGGGCGATTTGTCCACCAGACACACCCGGGTGGGGGTCCTCGGCTCTCCCTGGAGTCACCGGCTATGCCCCTAGGCGGTGCCTGCATCCAGAGCCCCCTGAAGACCGTGGACTTTCTGGACGCCTATCCAGACATCCTCAGCAGGAGGTTCGAGGGCTCCAGCCCCGAGGATTTCCTGGACTCCTCAGGTAAATGCCCTTCCCTGTCTCCAGGTGTGCCGTGCCTGTTGCTTTGCCGCCTCGTTCTTCCATTGATGATTCATCCATGGACACCTCCCTGTGTCCCGCGCTGACGCCAACAATGGAGAGAAAGGAGCTTGCTCCCCCCTCCCTGGAGTCCTGGCTCCCACCCGCCCCCCTCCCCCCACTTCACAGTGAGTGGTCAAGGAGAGACGTCACAGAAGGAGCAGGGGTGGTCACAGCCCCTCCCCTCTGCACCGCGTGTTAATGACGTCTGAAGGATGCGCCTTCCTCCCCCAAGGGCCCACGCGTCTTTCTGTCAAATCCTGTGCCAACCATGGCAGCTTCACGCCACAGCGGAGCCTCGCGAAGTGCTCACCGCCCCCTTCGTGGGTTTCAGTGAGCGTGTGTCCCTCTGCCGCCCGGAACTCCTGGGGCCAAGCACCTCGGGGCCCCCTGTGTGGTCCCACCCGACCCCCAGGCACACATGCCCCCACCCAGTAGGCAGGCAGAAGCTGACCCTCTGGCCAGTCACCCAGGAGCCGGGAAGGCAGCCCACCTGCCAGAGGTCGAGGGTGCTGGGCCCACTCCTGGCCCCGCACCCGCTGTGGGGTTTAGGGTGCGTCCCCCATCCGCCTGCCCCACCAGATGGGGCCAGCACAGTCTCTGCTGGCTGGTGAGGATGCGGGTGGGGACACGCGGGTGCACCCAGCACAGTGCTCAGCTCTGCACGGGGCTCGGGAACGGCCCGCAATGTGCCGACACCCCACCCTGCTCCAGCCGCAGCTTTCATCACAGAAATTGCTGTCGAGATGCCGTACGTTCCCCCAACACTGTTAGCAGAGAGCCTTTGGCGTGGCAGGAGGGCACCTGGCTTACAGAGCGTGCGCGTCCCCTGCGGTGCTCTGGGTGAAGGAGCCACCCCCATGTACCCGAAGGGCACATGACCCATCACAGCATCCCAGGCTGTGGGCTGTGGGGAGTGTGTGTGTGCGTGTGAATGTGTGTGTGTGAATGTGATGTGTGTGAGTGTGCATGTGTGTGAATGTGTGTGTGTGCGTGTGGGTGTGTGGGTGTGGCTGAGTGTGGGTGTGTGTGTGAGTGGGTGTGTGGGGGTGTGTGTGTGGGGAGTGTGTATGGGTGTGTGAGTGTGTGGCTGTGTGTGAATGTGTGTGTGCGTGTGTGCATGTGTGTGAATGTGGGTATGTGGGGTGTGGCTGTGAGTGTGTGTGTGTGAATGTGTGTGCGTGTGTGAATGTGTGCGTGTGTGTGAATGTGTGTGTGTGCGTGTATGTGTGAATGTCTGTGGGTGTGTGGGTGTGGCTGTGAGTGTGGGTGTGTGTGTGAATGTGTGTGCGTGTGTGAATGTGTGCGTGTGTGTGAATGTGTGTGTGTGCGTGTATGTGTGAATGTCTGTGGGTGTGTGGGTGTGGCTGTGAGTGTGGGTGTGTGTGTGGGGAGTGTATATGGGTGTGTGAGTGTGTGGCTGTGTGTGTATGTGTGTGTGCGTGTGTGCATGTGTGTGAATGTGGGTATGTGGGGTGTGGCTGTGAGTGTGTGTGTGTGAATGTGTGTGTGTGTGAATGTGTGCATGTGTGTGAATGTGTGTGTGTGCGTGTATGTGTGAATGTCTGTGGGTGTGTGGGTGTGGCTGTGAGTGTGGGTGTGTGTGTGAGTGGGTGTGTGGGGGTGTGTGTGTGGGGAGTGTGTATGTGTGTGTGCGTGTGTGCATGTGTGTGAATGTGGGTATGTGGGGTGTGGCTGTGTGTGAATGTGTGTGTGTGTGAATGTGCGTGTGTGTGAATGTGTGTGTGTGCGTGTATGTGTGAATGTCTGTGGGTGTGTGGGTGTGGCTGTGTGGGTGTGTGTGTGAGTGGGTGTGTGGGGGTGTGTGTGGGGGGAGTGTGTATGTGTGTGTGCGTGTGTGCATGTGTGTGAATGTGGGTATGTGGGGTGTGGCTGTGAGTGTGTGTGTGAATGTGTGTGAATGTGTGTGTGTGTGAATGTGTGTGTGTGCGTGTATGTGTGAATGTCTGTGGGTGTGTGGGTGTGGCTGTGAGTGTGGGTGTGTGTGTGAGTGGGTGTGTGGGGGTGTGTGTGTGGGGAGTGTGTATGTGTGTGTGCGTGTGTGCATGTGTGTGAATGTGGGTATGTGGGGTGTGGCTGTGTGTGAATGTGTGTGTGTGTGAATGTGCGTGTGTGTGAATGTGTGTGTGTGCGTGTATGTGTGAATGTCTGTGGGTGTGTGGGTGTGGCTGTGTGGGTGTGTGTGTGAGTGGGTGTGTGGGGGTGTGTGTGGGGGGAGTGTGTATGTGTGTGTGCGTGTGTGCATGTGTGTGAATGTGGGTATGTGGGGTGTGGCTGTGAGTGTGTGTGTGAATGTGTGTGAATGTGTGTGTGTGTGAATGTATGTGTGTGCGTGTATGTGTGAATGTCTGTGGGTGTGTGGGTGTGGCTGTGTGGGTGTGTGTGTGAGTGGGTGTGTGGGGGTGTGTGTGTGGGGAGTGTGTATGTGTGTGTGCGTGTGTGCATGTGTGTGAATGTGGGTATGTGGGGTGTGGCTGTGAGTGTGTGTGTGAATGTGTGTGTGTGTGTGAATGTGTGCGTGTGTGTGAATGTGTGTGTGCGTGTATGTGAATGTCTGTGGGTGTGTGGGTGTGGCTGTGAGTGTGGGTGTGTGTGTGAGTGGGTGTGTGGGGGTGTGTGTGTGGGGAGTGTGTATGTGTGTGTGCGTGTGTGCATGTGTGTGAATGTGGGTATGTGGGATGTGGCTGTGAGTGTGTGTGTGTGAATGTGTGTGCGTGTGTGAATGTGCGTGTGTGTGAATGTGTGTGTGTGCGTGTATGTGTGAATGTGTGTGGGTATGTGGGTGTGGCTGTGAGTGTGGATGTGTGTGGGTGTGAGTGTGAGTGTGGGGGAGTGTGGGTGTGCATGTGCATGTGTGTGTGAGTGTGTGTGTGAATGTGTGTGTGAATGTGTGTGTGAATGTGTGTGTGTGAATGTGTGTGTGAATGTGTGTGTGTGAATGTGTGTGAGTGGTGTGTGTGGGGGGGGGGGCCCTGTCAAGCTGCACCGCCGCCCAGGTCTCCAGGAGTGGAGCTTCGGCCTCCCAGTCCATGTCTGTGGCTGGAGCGAGGCCATTTCCCAGCGGCCTCTCCTCCATTTTCATCGACAGCAGCAGCCAGAGGCGTTTCTGCTCGTCACTGCTTCAGTTCCCTCACCACCCTTTGTTACAGCTTTTCTGACGACGCACCTTCTTCATCTGTCTTTTTAAAGAGCTGGGAGGACGCTGGGACACACCTAAAGGTCTTTCTGATGGTTCCAGAGCCCCCAGATGTTGCTCCAGGAAGCCCAGGAAATGACCTCATCATTCTAGTAACATCCACCCCACCAGAATTCCACCCCCCACAAAACCATCCCCCATGGTAAAATCAGAGCGTAAACACATGGTCGGCCAGCTCTTGGACATGTCACGGGGCCTGCTGTGTCCACCCCCGGCCCAGGCCTGCCACTCACCCCCCGCCCCCGCCCTGCTCGCTGGCGCTGTGAACGCAGAAGCTGTTTTGTGCACAGCGGCAGGAAGGATGCCAGGGCAGCGTCATCTGTTTTTCCTGCGAGTGCTCTAATTTTCACTCGTTCCAACCAAGTGAAAACATTTTCTGGAGGGAAGAGCGCAAGCAAAACTCATCTGGCAGAGAAGGCTTGGCGTGGAAGGAACCCTGACGACGTTCTCCACGGGGAGAAGGGAGCCTGAAGCTCGCGGCCCTCCATTCATCCACAGGGTGCTCCATCATTTAAGCCCCAGACCTCGGGCCAGGCCTCGTCTCAGCTGCATCTTTGGTGAAAGTTCCACGAGTGACATATGACCCTGGGGCTCTGCAGGACGGGACATTCAGGACCTTTCCAGGGTTGAACGAGGCCTGTCTGCAAGGTCAGGAGATTTTTTCTTCCCTTAAGGAATTAGAAGGTTTATTCGGAGCAGGAGGGGCAGGGCAGCTCTCCACCCGGTGCCTCTGATTTATGTGCTGTGGATGCGTGTGCGCCCAGGATGCGTTTAACAAATGGGCCTGAGCGCTGGGGAGCCGCACATCACGTGATCACGTGAGACGCAGTCCTCTCCTCTCGTTGGCTCACTTGCAACAATACGAGCTAATTGGAGTGCAGTGGATTGGCTGGGCTCTCCCGGCAGCTAGGAAGGTGAAGACTCTGCCTACGATTCAGAAGGCCAGGGTCCAATCCCTGGGTTGGGAAGAGCCCCTGGAGAAGGAAATGGCAACCCACTGCAGCATTCTTGCCTGGAGAATCCCCGTGGGCAGAGGAGCCTGGTGGGCTACAGTCTATGGGGTCGCAAAGAGTCGACACAGCTGAGCCTCTAACACTAAGTGGGTTGGCTGCACTGACCGCTGTGTGGGTCAGAGGGCCACAGGGCAGTGGGGTTGCGTCGTATCCTGTGTTCAGAGAAACTGGGGACTCAGGCTCTGGAGTGAGCTGTGTGACCTTGGGCTAGATGCTTACCCTCTCTGATCCTCTGTTTCCCTGTAAGGTATTAGGAGGAGGTGCCCTCTCTGTAAAGACCCTTTGCCCAAGTGAGAGCACACTCCCAGGTTCAGGGGGTCGAGAGATGGACATGACTTTGGGGGCCCCATTCCAGTCACCATACCTGGCAGAACTGTGGGAGGGGTGCCCCGTGTCAGGGTCCACACCCCGAAACCTGCCTCACGCTAGGCTCCCTGAGACATGCTGTGGGAGCTGGTCAGGCTGCTTGCAGCCTCCGAGCCCTCGACTCCTCAGGCCTCTGAGATGGAGCGTTTGCTCGTTAATGAAATGCTCAGCTGTGCTGTGAGGTTAGCAGATACGGCAGCACAAAATGGCTGGAGGTCTGCAGTAGTGGGTACCACGGGATGTGCTCCCAGGGAACAGGCTGTGCCACCCGGGGGGAAGTCCCAGGGCCCCTGCGTCCAGCCTTTGGGTCCAGGCCCAGTGCCCTCAGGTCAGTCCTGCGGCTCCAGAGCCCAGAGCAGCTGCGGGTCCCGCAGGCCTGGGCCCTCTGCCTGGGTAGCAGATGAGCGCGTGGACCCAGAGCCTCGCAGCCAGCTCAGACCCCACACCCGCCCGGCTACCTTGCCATGTGCCCGGGCGCCTCCTTGTCCCCTGGTCCTCACTGGAGGGGGCAGGAACAGCCCTGCCAGGCTGGGTGTTCTGAGTCACCCACGTCCTGGGAACCCGTGAGGTGTGATGACAGAAGGACCCACAGAGGCAGGCACAGCCCTGGGATGGGCTGGGAGGGTGGGGGTCTCCGTCCATCCCCTTCCAGCTGGTCCCTGTCCATCCGCACCCCTGTCAGCAGCTTCCTCTCCTCTCCCCTGAAGGGCCGGAGGAGGGGGTAAGGTCTCAGCAGAGCTGATGTGAGGCCCCGGGCCTGGCTGGCCAGGTGGACAGAGCACCATTTCTCCACCACCTGCCAGAAAGTCGCCCTGACGTCGTGCAGGCCTGAGTTTCATCTGGACTGTGTATCCTCATCGTGAATGAGGTGGTTACCCCCAAAAGACCATAAAGAAGGCTGAGTGTTGAAGAATTGATACTTTCGAGCTGAGGTGCTGGAGAAGCCTCTTCAGAGTCCCTTGGACTACAAGGAGATCCAACCAGTCCATCCTAAAGGGAATCAGTCCTGAATATTCATTGGAAGGACTGATGCTGAAGCTGAAGCTCCAATACTTTGGCCACCTGATGCGAAGAACCGACTCACTGGAAAAGACCCTGATGCTGGGAAAGACGGAAGGTGGGAGGAGAAGGGGACGACAGAGGATGAGATGGTTGGATGGCATCACCCTCAATGAACATGAGCTTGAGTAAATTCCGGGAGACAGTGGAGGATGGAGGAGCCAGGGGGTCACAGAGTCGGACATGACTTTTCTACTGAACAACAGCAACCCCAGAAGGGGCTCCATGACCTCGTGGAGTCTGTGGTTGCTGGAGCCGTGTAGAACTCAGGCCGGCCTCACAGCAGAGCCAGGAAGCGCCCTCCCCCTTTGCCTGTCTCAGCCTGACCACCACCGAGGGGTGGGAGTCGGGTGGGCAGCCCTCGTCCCCGGGGCGCAGATTCCAGGTCTGTGAACTGGCCCTGTCTCACTCGCTCAGCATGAGGGTTGAGGCCCTGCACTCACGTGTCTCTCCGTCTCTCACTCTGAAGTCCCGCTGGCGGCATACGAGTGGCTGGTCTGCTACCTGCTCAGGGAGAGCTACCAGAGGCTCAATCAAGAGAAACGCTCAGGAAAAAGCGACTTCGAAGCCAGAAACAACTGCCAGGTACGTGTTTGTTTCAGAAGTTGCTTCTCCGTGAGCTGCTCCAGATGCCCGCACCGCCGCGTCCTCTCTGGCTCTCTGCTGCCGGGACCAGCGGTGCACCCGCGCCACCCGCACCCCGAGCCCAGCCCTTTTGCTACACTGCGCGGCTGGTGTCCAGACTTGGGCAGCTCAGAGTCCGTCTCTGCCTGAAGTATTCGTAATTTAGGCTTCCCTGGTGGCTGAGCTGGTAAAAAATCCGCCTGCAAGGCGGGAGACCCAGGTTCTATCCTTGGGTCGGGATGATCCTCCAGAGAAGGGAATGGCTGACCTGCTCCAGTATTCTGGCCTGGAGGGTCTCCATGGACAGAGGAGCCCGGTGTGCTACAGTGCCTGGGGTCGCAAATAGTCGGGCACGACCGAGCGACTGACACTTATTCGTAACTTGTTAAAATGAAAATATACTCGGGAATCAGAGCACACCAGAAATTGATACCTGGGTTGGAATGTTTTTCCTGGGACTGGAGGTTTGTCGGGGGTGAGGATTTGTGAGAGACGGGCCTGTGCAGGGAGCAGGGAGCGGGCCTTGCTGGCCTGCGGTGTCCTACTGCCGGCCTCTCTTGGGAGCTCTTCGTGATCACGGAGCAGCTTGGGCTGTGCAGGCTAGGACTGTCCCTCAGAGTTTCTGTTCTGTGCCCCCCACCCCACGGCCCCAGCATGGGCACCTCACAGGACCCCTCACGGGCGCTGGCCCAGGTCTGTTAATACAGTGGGCAGATCTCTGGTGGCACGGGCAGGCCGTCCAGGAGAAGTCAAGGGTGGGCACCAAGTGTGAGGACTCGGGAGGGAAGCGGAGGGTGCAGGGGCTGGAATCAGGCTCTCACCCCAGTGGGTGTTGGAGCTGTGTGATTTGGGGGTTCTGTCTGTGCACTCTGGGGGGCCCAGCAGCACTCAAGCCTCTGCTCACTAAGATGCCAGCAGCACCTCTGAGTTGTGACAACCCCAGACTATCTCCTGACGGTGCCAGGCACCCTGGGGGTGGGGGAGCTAACTGGGCCTGGTTGAGAGATCAAGAACCCCTGAGCCAGTGGGACCTCCGGTCTGGAGCGGGGAGCTGCCGGGGAGCAGGTCCACTCTCTGTGGCTCCGGGAATCTCTGTTCTGCCCTGTCTCCCTTTAGACACTTCCTTTGTGCCCGTGGCCTGGTGTGGCTGCCTTCCTGGGTCCCTGTGACCGTCCAGGCCCTCCACGCACTGTGGATGCGTGTGACGGTCCAGGCCCTCCACGCACTGCCTTCCTGGGTCCCTGTGACCATCCAGGCCCTCCACGCATTGTGGACCCGTGTGACCATCTAGGCCCTCCACGCACTGCCTTCCTGGGTCCCTGTGACCGTCCAGGCCCTCCACGCACTGTGGATGCGTGTGACGGTCCAGGCCCTCCACGCACTGCCTTCCTGGGTCCCTGTGACCATCCAGGCCCTCCACGCATTGTGGACCCGTGTGACCATCTAGGCCCTCCACGCACTGCCTTCCTGGGTCCCTGTGACCGTCCAGGCCCTCCACGCACTGTGGATGCGTGTGACGGTCCAGGCCCTCCACGCACTGCCTTCCTGGGTCCCTGTGACCATCCAGGCCCTCCACGCATTGTGGACCCGTGTGACCATCTAGGCCCTCCACGCACTGCCTTCCTGGGTCCCTGTGACCATCCAGGCCCTCCACGCATTGTGGACCCGTGTGACCATCCAGGCCCTCCACGCACTGCCTTCCTGGGTCCCTGTGACGGTCCAGGTCCACCATGTGGGCCTGATTCCGGGGACTGAGACTGGGAAGAGGAGCTCATGGGATGCGATGCAGGCGCTGGACATGTGAGGTTCCGTCTGCTGCTCCTCACGGCAGCGCCCGCAGGCCGGCTCCTTCCTGCTCCCTCTTCACAGACCCAAGAAGCTCAGGCTGGGATGGGAGCAAGTGGCTCCCATCCCACTGTGCGCACACGCTCGTAAAAGCCGAGTGGATTCGGAAGCTGGCCCCTCGACTCCGAGAGCTGGGCCCTGAGCCGGTCCATTGGGGACTCAGAGCTCAGCAGGACGTAGGATGCGTTTTTAGGGTGGCCAAGTCAGAGGTGGGGCCACGTTTCCAGGCCCGCACCAGCCGATGCTGTGGCTGAAACTGACCCGTGTGCTGCCTTCACGGAAAGATAGGACGAACACACTATGACTGACTCTAGAAAATGCACGTGGTTGAGAAGGAGCGAGCAGAGGAGGGCAGAGTTTGGACTTGGTCCTGGGCTGGGACTCGCAGGGAGAATCTCCCCAAGTGGAGAGGAGCCCACGGCTCGCGGGCACGTTGGGGGGTGGGGGTCCATTCAGTGACACCCGCTCGCGGAGAGGTTGAGGGCGCACACGGGGGCCGGCCTACCTGCGCCGAGTGTGTCTCCACCAGTCGCCGATGGCGTGAACTTGTTTCACCCTCGGGGTCCAGGGCGGATTGAGGTGATGCCTTTGGGGGGGCTCTTAGCTTAGTGCCTAGCCCGTGTTGTGGGGGGCACTCCCCACCCGCCTCCATTATCAGCTTCGTCAGCTTCCCCCCCGTGAGTACCCCCTCTCTGCGTCTCTCTCCCTCCAAAGTCAAGGACACCACCACACGGCGAGCACGAGAGGGCAGCTGCTCTGAAGGCCCGGATGGCCCTGCAGGCAGGATGCCGGGATGCAGGCCGTGTGACCTGGTGGTGTCAGAGGCGCAGCGGGGTCTTCAGATCAGACCAAGCAGACTGGCATGAGGCCGGGGAACATCCTCCCCTGAATTCCCTCCTGAGGGTGCCTGGTTCTCAGGCAGACCCTGGGGGAGCCTTGGCCTCGGAAGTGAGGACCCATTGCTTGCTCTGAAAGTCAAGAGGAGGCTTTGAGCTCAGAACCGTGCCCCACTTGGCAACCACGCCCCCTGCCTGCCCGGAGCATATTCTGGACCCTGCCCTGTGGATTCTGGCTGATGCATGTGTATGCTTAGTCACTTCAGTCGCTTCCAACTCTTTGCGACCCCATAGACTGTAGCCCGCTAGGCTCCTTTGTCCATGGAGTTCTCCAGGCAAAAATACTGGAGTGGGTAGCCATTCCCTTCTCCAGGGGATCTTCCTGACCCAAGGATTGAACCCAGATCTCCTGCATTGCAAGTGGACTCTTTACTGTCTGAGCCACCAAGGAATTCTGGGGCAAATTCATGCAGACATTGAATAGGGGTCTCTTCCCTCCCCCATCCTGGGTCACCTCTTTGCTGGATTATTTAATTTCGAAAGCAACACATGCTCATTATAACAAATGAGGAATGCATGTGTAATTGTTCTAATTAAAAAAAAACCCAGTAAACTGATAAACTAGAGATGGGGAAAGAAAAGCTGACAAGCAAAGCTAATGATGAGCAGCAGATGTGTTGGCTATTGGTTAAAAGAGAAAAAGCCCGGGCCAGAAGACCCATGGTGACTTCCTGCTTCCACAAACCGAGCCAGCATCGGGACTCACGCGAGTGCAACCCAGCTGGCCCCCCGGTGAAGCCCTTCCCTCAGTTCCGGATGTGATGGGAGTGGGAGAGAGGGGCTGTTTCCTTGAGAAACTTGGGGGGCGCAGGCGGAGCCAGGCCTCGGGAGGGGCTGAGGTCGCTTCCAGGTGAGTCCAGGGAGCATGTGGGAAACCTTCTCTGTGGTTCCCAGTGCAAGAGAACCGACCTTGTGCCCTCGGGGATCCCACCCCCCAGGGGACGCCCCAGTCCCTAGTGCCAGGATGACCCCGGCGAGCCCGTGGCGGCTGTGTGTCTGCTGTGGGGTCACAGAGGCCCCAGACAGCGCTAAGCGGAGCACGGTCGCTGGGCCCGAGGTCCAGAGCAGCTGCTACAGGCGGGCTTGCGCTCCTGCCGGCCTTTCCCCAGAGGCGCTGCCCAGCCCCGCTGGCTGTGCCTGCTCCCCGGGTGCTGCCGGGATGCAGACCCCGGTGTGCCCTCCCGAACGCTCGCGCCGCGCCCTGTTGCAGGTGTACCACTGCCGGCCCTTGGCCCTGGCGTTCCTGGAGCTCACGGTCGTGCGCAGGTTCCACGAGCACGCGCACCAGCCCGGCGTGCCGCCCCCGCTGCGGGCCGTGCTCCGGCGGCTCAGCGCCCTCTACGCCGTGTGGTCCCTGGGCCAGCACACCGCCCTGCTCTACCGAGGTGAGACCGCGCTCCGGGGCCGCGTGGGGCGCTCCCTCCGCGCGGCTTACTGAGCGCTCATCACGGGGAGCAGATGAGCCCAGAGGCCATGGCGGGGGCGGGGGGGAACCGCCAGGGGGCACAGCAGCACCAGGGTGGTGCCCGTAGGGCTGAGCCGTGGCGGGCAACCCAGGAGGGCTTCCCGGAGGAGGTGATGAAAGGGCTGATCCTGGAAGATGGGTGGAAACGGGATAAACCTGAGTTTTTTTCAAACTTTGTTTCACTATCTTTCTAAGGAACATTTTTTAGATGTTTTCCCAAAGCATCCCCATGACATGTTAATCCTAGAGCTGTCCTGTGTACCTCCTCATGCCCCAGGCGTGTATCTGTGCTGTCCCAGGAGTACGTTTTTCTCTCCCCTTGAAGAGAACCCACATTTTCCTCCTTGGGGCCAGTGTTGCCCGCCCCCCCCCTTTTTTTGAGTCACTCAGTCGTGTCTGACTCTTTGCGACCCCATGCACTTTACAGTCCATGGAATTCTCCAGGCCAGAATACTGGAGTGGGTAGGCGTTTCCTTCTCCAGGGGATCTTCCCAACCCAGGGATCGAACCCAGGTCTCCCGAATTGCAGGCAGATTCTTTACCAGCCGAGGTATACAAGGGCTCCCTGGTGGGAGCGGTGGGGTGCGGAGGCAGGAGCCCACCCTCTGAGTGAGCAGGCGCTGTTCTCTATGGCAAAGATCAGACAGCAGCCAGTTCTGCAGCAGACTTGGGGCTCCCTCCTTGGGCCTGTGAGACAGCATAAAACAGTGCGCGTGGGTGTGGGAGGCAAGGCCAAGGGGGCGGTTCTCCGGCCAGTTGCCTGGTGACTGCAGACACCCCCACGTGCCCCCAGGTGCCGCTCTGAGCCTGCAGCCCTCGCCACCCCGCCCAGTGCTCTGCTTGGGGTCTTGTCCATTCCCGTGGATGCCAGCCCTGCCTCCTCCTACCCCCCAGCCCCCTGTGGCCGCCCTTCCTGAGCTTCAGCATCCCCAGCTCCCGGCTGTGACCCCCTCCCCCCACAAGCAGGACCTGCTCAGTGAACCAGCAGGGAGGAGGACAGGGACCCCAAGCCCAGCCTCACCTTTCTTTAAAGGTGGTCACAGGGGGAGCGAGACGTCTTCACACAGAATGGGCTGTTTCATGATGTGTGCACTATTTGTGGGTAACTTGGGGGTTTAAAGGGCTTCCCCAGTGACTCAGATGGTAAAGAATCTGTCTGCAGTGCAGGAGACCCGGGTTTGATCCCTGGGTCGGGAAGATCCCCTGGAGATGGGAATGGTAGCCCACTCCAGTATTCTTGGCTGGGGGACTCGGCGGACAGAGGAGCCTGGCGGGCCACAATCCATGGGGTCCCAGAGAGTCGGGCCCGACTGAGCTACTGATCCTTGGGGGTGAGGGTCCCGGACCCCGGAGTCACCGCACTGTGCTTCCAGGTGGGTACTTGTCTGGTGAACGTGCGGGCAAAGCGATGGAGAGCGCAGTCCTGGCCCTGTGTGCGCAGGTGAGTTGTGACCCCCTGTGTCCCTATGTGATTCGCATGTGATGACACGTATGTTACTGTCCGGTGACCTTGGCCTCCCACTCATTGGTGTGTGTCACCTTTCAGTTCAGTCACTCAGTCGTGTCCGACTCTTTGTGACCCCATGGACGGCAGCATGCCAGGCCTCCCGGTCCATCACCAACTCCCGGAGTTTACCCAAGCTCATGTCCATTGAGCCAAAGCAGTGCCTCCATTGGCACACCCCAGAAAACTAGAGAGAATGTGCTTATGGCAGAAAGGTCAGGAAGCGCCACTCTCAGGGGCCCGTACACATCCAGCTCATTCTAACGCTTTCTACAGCGACTTCGACCATTGCTTCAGGCCTTTCAAGTTAGCCTCCAATTTAAAATCATCTCGTGGCATTTTCTTTGGTTTTTTATTGCGTCCTTCTGCCTTCGTCACCCAGAGGAGTCAGGTGGCCCCACGTCGTGTCCTGCTGGCACTCCGTTCACTGGAGCTTCGTGCAGGGAGGGACAGGTTCTAGGGCTGTGCTCTCCCGTGCGGTCGCCGCCGGCCGCCTGGGGCTGCCGGTGGTGGAACTGCAGCGGGCGTGAGCAAGGATTTGGGGTTTTCTTTAGTTTTAATTCAACCGTCAGTGTGTGTGCTGGCTGCTGCATTAAGCAGTGCAGTTGGAGGCGCTTCTCTGCGCTGGGTGATCAGACATGAACCAAAGCCCCCCAGCACTCTGTCCGTGGTATGTCTGTGGTGTACGCAGCACATATATGTACACAAGTGTCTCCACTGATGGATGAGGGGCCGCTGGGCTCCTCTCTGTGCTTCTGAGCTGAGGCAGCTCCGGGTGATGTCCTTGCTGGCCTCAAGCCTCTCTCTCCCCACGTGGGTTCAGGGTAAGGGTGTCTCTGGGGTCATTCCGTCTGCTCGGGCCACGTCGACTTAAACAGGAAAGGGGTTTTCCCTCTTGTGTTTTGTGGGGGTGAGTTGCCTTTATAAAAAATAACAGCAGTCGTTTCCCTTGCTCTGCAACGTGACACTTAGACCTTGGAGCTGGTGGCTGGGGTAGGGTGGAGGGGCAGTACCTGGGCCCAAGCTGCCTGGCGGATCTGAGTCCTGGTCCTGACTCGGGGGGGTGGGGGCCAGCACGGGGCGGGGGGTGGCTGCCGGCTCCTTCCCTGCTCCAGCCCGGGGCCTGGAGCAACATCGTCTGTCGGGGTGTCCTCGCTGTCTCACGCTCACCTCTGCTGAGACAGTGACCCCACAGCCCGCAAAGACGGGCTCTTTCCCGTGGGCCCCCTGCATGAAACGCTGGCCAACCCCCGGTCTAGGGCAGGACCTTGCTCTACTATTGTTTCTCCTTGAAGCAGGGCAGGCTCATACCCCCGACCCCCTGGGACCTCGGTGCCAAGGGTGTGTGGGACTGTGGAGCAGCGCCTGAGCCATGAAGCCAGGCTCCTCTCCTCTCGTGACTCTCTGCCCAACAATTGCTTTAATTGGCCTTGTTTCAATCACCCTGGCTCCTGTGTTCAGTTCAGCCCCGGGGCCTGGATAGCTCAGTCAGTGGAGCACCAGACTTTTAACCTGAGGGTCCGGGGTTCAAGTCCCCCTTCAGGCCTGCTGTCCTCTGTTTTATCTTTGGGCTTCCCCGGTAGCTCAGACAGTAAAGAATCTGCCTGCGATGCAGGAGACCCCAGTTCGATCCCTGGGTCGGGAAGATCCCTTGGAGAAAGAGATGGCTACGTACTGTAGAATTCTTGTCTGGAGAATTCCACAGGCCAGGGGAGCCTGGCGAACTGTTAGTCCTCGGGGTCACAAAGCGTTGGACACAGCTGGGTGACTAAGCACACATACCACATATGGTATTTCACAATTATTTTAAGTAAAAAATGTATTTTTGCATTTCAAGAAAATTCTTAGGAGTCTACTCATATGAATTCCACTTGTCATATTGTAGAATAATTTGTGTAACGGGATGGGAGAGTAATAAAACTACCGTGAACCAAAGCACATTGGGATGATGGCTTTTCCAGGGGCTTATAAATGCTTTTACTCTTACATTTTTTTTTTCCTGGACATATTTTCCTCTGTTGGAACAGTAATTGCCCCGATCAGTCAGGGTTCAGAGACAAACCTCTGAAGACAGTTGCCAGTTAGTGAGCCACAGAATCATCAGTTTTACGAGCAGTCCCTACCATGTTGGAAAAAAAAAGAAAATGTTGGAAGTCTTGAGTGGATAGCAACATGGTGAAAATATTCAGATGCACACTTGGGGAACCTGTAACCCAGGCCAGTGAAAAGATGATGCCTGAGGAGTGGAACCTTGCGCCTGCTGGGGTTACCATTGCTCGTGGGTTGCAGGCTCTGTTACTTGGTGGTTGCCGTGGAGATGCCGGGCGTTGCCAAGCGTACGGACTCTGTTTTCTAACAGCTGAAAGATGATGCTGTTGCCCTGGTGGACGTCATCGCCCCTCCAGACTTCATCCTGGGCTCACCGATTGGCAGAGCTGATGGCGAGGTGTGAAGAACAGCCTTCCGCCCGTGGGCGGCAGGAGGCGCTCTGGGCCCCAGGCAGTCGTGGCAGAGCTGAGATGGTGACAGGGCTCGGGGCGGGGTCGGGGGGTGGTCTCCAGCGTCACGTGGCCAGCGGGGAGGGAGTGGCTGGGAGAAGTTGGGGTGGTCGTGGACGGGTCAGCCGCCCCCCAGCCTGCCCTTCCCTGAGAGACAGAGTGGCCCCGCCACTCTCTTAGGAGGCCGCAACACCAAGGTCAGTGTGGGCCTGTGCGAAGCTGTGGTCTCTGCACACTCTCCTGAGGGCCCGCCCCACTCCTGGCTCTTCTGACCCCCTCACCCCTCTACCTGGGCTTCCAGGCAGCCCCCAGGTGGCTGCCCGAGCTCCTCTCTTGCCCCCACCCCTCCCCATGCTCCAGAACGATTGCTTCTCGAGCTGCCCCAGAGTCCCCCACACCAAAGCAGTACCAGACCCCCCCGCTCCCGCCCGCCCCTGTGGCTGATCTCTGCCTGGCTCTGCGGGGCCATCGCACACCTCCTCCCACCCTCCAGACTCCAGCCTCTTTGTCCTTCTGCTTCTCTATTGTACTGGGCTCACTCCCACCCCAGGGCCTTTGCACCTGTGCCCCCCGCTACTCGGGAGCACTTCTGCTCGTTCCGAGTGGACTGTGCCCCCCGCTACTTGGGAGCACTTCTCGTTCTGAGTGGACTGTGCCCCCCGCTACTCGGGAGCACTTCTGCTCGTTCCGAGTGGACTGTGCCCCCCGCTACTTGGGAGCACTTCTGCTCGTTCCGAGTGGACTGTGCCTCCTGCTACTCGGGAGCACTTCTCGTTCTGAGTGGAATGCCGTTCTTCTGGGAGGCCTCCTCCAGCTTCTAGGTGAAGTGTCCCCCTCTTCCCCTGGCAGGTGGGTCCCCCACTTTTTCCTGTGGTGTGAGCCTCGCCATGCTCCTTTCCAAGCCCACGGCAGCCTGGTGTGACCTCCACCACGTGGAGAGGCCTGTGCAGGATGGCGCCCGCGGGCCTGCTCAGCACTCCCAGCTCCCCACCGCCCGTGGGTGGTTGTCCCCATGTTTCCATGGAGACTGTTTCCGTGGAGACATGGCATGTCAGTGTTAAAGTCACGTGGTGAGGGCCCATGGCTATCATGCTGTTTCTCCTGAGGCTTATCTTGCTGACCCAGGAGATTGAACACCGGGGGACGAGCACCTTCTCTCTGTCCCCAGGGGACATTCCAAGGGGACAGGAACCTTCTGTCCTCAGGAGACACTGCCGTTGGTCCAGGGGGCAGGTGCCTGGACCTCTGCCCAGCCCAAGCCACCCCCAGGGTTGGGATGGAAGTGCAGGTGCTGGGTTGGGCAGATCAGAAGAGCCCCCCATCGAGTCAGGAAGGCAGGGACCACACGTCTGGGGAGGGCCGGCTGTCCTCTGGCTGTTGAGCTGGGCCAGGTGTCTCCCTCGAGGCGGCCGCTTTGCCAGGGAGAGACCCAGCCTCCAGGAGGACCAGGCAGGTGGCCTGAGTTGGCCCAGCTGGGAGGCGGCAAAGATGGACTGTTTGGAGGGAAGGCGGGAGAGTGTGGACCTTGGTCTCTGGTGTGGCCGGGGCCCAGCAGGAGCATGAGGAGGATGTGTTGACCGGCCCACGGGCGGGGAGCTGGCCTCTGGGACGTGGGCTCCCGGCAGCGCTAGCCCCGTACGGGCAGGCGGCAGCCCTGATTCATGGGCGGGCAGGCAGGCAACTGTGGAGCAGGGTAGGCCATGCCATCCTGCCCTGGCCTGAGGTGGGGCCCTGGACTCCACACTGAGACCAGAGCAGCCCCGGGCCTTGCCCGCAGGATTTACGCGGTGCGTGTCTCTCCCAGTGTTATGGGCTGAGGTCTGCACCGCGTACTGTGAGGTGGGAAATCCATTTTAGACGGACAAACACAGCTGTCAGAGGCCGAGGCCATCTTTAAGGGAAGCGCCGCACCCAGGTTTTGTGGTGTCACCTCGGATTTATGACCTGCGGGGAGAGAGCCTCGTCTGCGTCTCCCTGGGAACCAGGAATAGCAGTACGCGTGGGTGGAATCGCTGAGCACGTTTAGCGGGTGCAGAGAGAGGGCAGCTTCTTGAAAGTGACACCTGTCAACGTCGGCCAGATGTAAAACTGGCTCCTTTCCTGCCTCCATGGACCTCGGCCTGGATGCTGGCCGTGCTGAGAGCAGGGACGGGTCAGGCGACTGCCTGCACGCTCACGACCTTCCTCTGGGATGACTAATGAGAGCAGTCCAGCCTGGGGGCCTGGAGGTGGCAGCTGGCCGGCCTAGGGGGCTCAGTCTGGCGGGGTGGGCAGAGAGGGGACCGGGCCTGCCCAGGCCCGGGGGCCCAGAGGACTAGCCATCAGGCTGCTGCTTGGCTGTGCCGCCACGCGCCAGCCGCCTGGCTGCAGAAGGACAGATTTCAGAGCAGATGATCAGAGTCAACTTGCAGAATCCACCTTCCGTGAGAATTTCCAAAGAGAAGGCCAAGCAGGATGTTTTCAGCATAAGTGTACATTCTGTGAAATCGCTCAGTCGTGTCCGACTCTTTGCGACCCCATGGACGGAGGAGCCTGCACCAGGCTCCTCCGTCCATGGGATTTTCTAGGCAAGAGTACTGGAGTGGGTTGGCGTTTCCTTCTCCATGGGATCTTCCCAACCTAGGGATCGAACCCAGGTCTCCCGCATGGATAGACAGACGCTTTACCGTCTGAACCACCAGGGCCGTGTACATCAGGGACCTTGATCGTTGTATTTTCCCAATTTTCCTCTGCTGACAAAGAAAGGGCTTATGCAAATTGAATTTAAATCGTCTTCAGACGCTTCCAGGAAGTGATGGCGCTTCCTGTGTTTTGCACAGTTGCATTGACACGCTGAGTCTTTCTTATTCCATCTGTGTGTATCATGTATTTTTTAACAGCTCTATAAAAACCTCTGGACTGCCGTCCTTCAGGGAAGCAAGGTGCTGGAGAGGGCATCATGGTGGTCAGAATTCGTGGTCAACAAGCCCGTCATAGGAAGTTTGAAATCAAAGCTGTAGTCGAACCGGCTAAATCTGGCGAAGCCATGAGGACCTGGACCTCAGGTTCACTTCTGGAAGCCCCAGACCCGCAGTTCTACCTGGCGGCTTGTCCTGTTGAGTCCAGGGCTGGACCGGCTTATCCTGGCCTCGCCCCCGCCCGCCGCCCCGAGTCCTAGCAGGACGGGTAACCTCCAAAGGGTAGGACTGATTTGGGTCATCCTGATTTGCTGGGTGAAAACAAAGTTTATATATAGGATCATGTCTTCCTGAGAGACTGAACACTTTTGGATAATTAGAGCTTTAGCATAATTCTGTTTTCATATGCTGATTATGAAGCTGACTGCTTGTAATCTGGGATTTTTCTGGCCAGGTGATCTTTTGCCTTCATCTGAGATTTCTTCCAAGACTTTGCTTCACTAAGCCCTGAACGATGCCAATCCGACTCTTTTTTCACCCTGGTTTGACTTTCTCATGTCATTAAATTATATCATAACTTTACTAATTTGCACTGTGGACCACCCGAATGGCATAGCTGAAGATTTTGAAGGAAAATAAAATCAGTTTTCTTACTTTCTTGTGTGGAACTAGAAGTTTCCATTAAAGAAATGTTTCCAAAGGGGGGAAAAAAGTGCATAATGATTTGAGGGTCTGGTCATCCTTACGTCCTGACCTCCCTGTTGTATGCGCATTATGTCGTCACTTTGTTACTTGAACGAGTTTGTTTCTCTAGGAAGTGGAGCTCCCAGGCTGCCTGCCCCTGTGTGGGGTTTGTCCCACGCTTCTGCACACTGTCCACCCTCAGGCCCGAGTGCCCTGCAGACAGCGGGGACTGATGGAGGAGGCTGATGGCCACCTCCACCCATGATTCCTTCGTCCCAGGTCAGGACGACGGCTGGTGGGTGGGCCCTGTCTCCATCTCCCGCTGCCCCCCAGCTTCTGATTTCCAGGAGGTTCAGGACCTCTGTCATCAGCAGCCCCCTGCACTCCCCACCCTGCTGAGGTGCCCATGGAACACGCTGGTACTGAACAAAGGTGGCTCTTATTTTCCAAAAGAGCCCAGAAAACCTCTGAGCACGTGAAGGGCCTGAGAAAGAATTATTTTTTTAGGACCTTCCCCGGTGGTCCAGTGGTTAAGACTTCACCTTCCAATGCTGAGCAAGGGGTACAAGTTCAACCCCTGGTCAGGGAGAGGTCACAAGGGGTACAAGTTCAACCCCTGGTCAGGGAGAGGTCAGATGAGATCCCACATGCCTCGTAGCCAAAAAAACCAAAACATAAAACATAAGTCACATTGTATTGAGGTTGGTGCAAGAGTAACCTGTGGTTTTGCACTGTTGAGCTCAGCTGTTTGATACTGGAATACATTCTTAAATAAATGTGGTTAGATTATGCTGTTGTTCAGATGCTAAGTCATGTCTGACTCATTGGAGCTGATCCTCTTCCAACTACACCGGACGCTGTCAGATAACTCAATGAGTTGATATCAGTGTCAACTCAATGCTACTCTATGGTCATTCGGCGCTTGAAGCAAATCGGAAAGGTGAAAAAGCTCAATAAGTGGGTGCCTGGTGAACTGACCGCAAATCAAGAAAACAGTTTTTGAGGTGTTGTCTTCTCTTATTCTATGCAACAACCATGAACCGTTTCTCTACTGGATTGTGATATATGATGAAAAGTGGATTTTATACAACCGGCGACAACCAGTTTCAGTGGCTGAACCGAGAAGAAACTCCAAAGCACTTCCCTAAACCAAACTCGCACCAAACAAAGGTCATGGTCACTGTTTGGTGGTCTGCTGCTGGTCTGATCCACTGCAGCTTTCTGAATCCTGGTGAAAATGTTACACCTGAGAAGTACGCTCAGCGAATTGATGAAAAACTGCAGTGCCTGCAGCTGGCCTTGGTCAACAGAAGGGGCCCAGTTCTTCCCCACGACAACACCTGACCGCACATCGCACAACCAGGGCTTCAAAAGCTGAACAAATTGGGCTACAAAGTCTTGCCTCATCTGCCATATTCACCTGACCTCTCGCCAGCCCACTACCACTTCTTCAAGCACCTTGACAACTTTTTGCAGGGAAAACGCTTCACAACCAGCTAGAGGCAGAAAATGCTTTCCGAGAGTTCGTCAAATCCTGAAGCACAGATTTTTATGCTACAGGAATAAAAAAAGTTACTTCTTATTGGCAAAAATATGTTGATTATAATGGTTCATATTAATGATTAATTAAGATGTGTTTGAACCTAGTTATGATGATTTAAAATTCATGGTTCAAAATTGCAGCTACTTTTTCACCAACCTACATAACAAATGTAATAAAGACTTTAAAAATACTCCACATCAAAAAACAGTCATCTTAAAAAAAAAAATTGGCTTTTAAAGACTGAATTACATAGGTAGAATCATGTGTGTGGTTCCTTAACTTCCCAGGCCTCAGTCTTCATGCCCAGGAAAGGGATGCACACACCCCTGCCAGAAGCATCCGAGTGGCTGGCAGGTTAAGATTAAGGACCACTCACCGCTTAAGGTTAAGGAGCACTTAACACTCGCTAGGCCTTTTTGTTCATTGTTCACAAGGCCCTGTGTGAGAGGAGTTGTACTGTGCCCATTTTATAGACAGGAAAACTGACCCTGAGAGGCTGAACCACTGCCGTGGACCAGAAGGCCAGGGAGCGGCAGAGCTGGGCCAGGCCCTCAGTCGGGACCCAGGAGACCTGGGTCCCATCACATGGTGGGATGGGACCACCACCTTGTGGGTTTCCTGCCCCGTCCCTCCTCCTGATGGAACCCTAGCTCTGGCCAGGCTTCTGCTGCGGGATTGGGCCCATCTTGGCTGAAGCGCCTCCGCCCCCGCACCCTTTCGGGGGCGGGGGGGGCGTCCTGTGGCCTTACGAAGAAGCTGAGGTGGAGGATGGAGACTGACCAGGAGCGGTGCCCCCAGCCTGTGCGTGCCTGGAACCGACTCTGGCCTCGGCCCCCAGCCCTCGGGCCTGGGTGGAGGGTCTTGCCCCGGGAACAGTGGGGCCATAGGAGGAGCTTCGCGGGGCTCCAGGCCAGCCCTTCTCTGCAAACCCTGAGCTGCACAGAAGCTGGGCCTGCCGGGGGGGCCCTGGGCACGTGGTCTTCGTGTGTGAGGGCCCCTCAACAGCTGGCCGTCAAGGGCCAGGGGCCCTGTGGACGATTCGCTCCTTCCCTGTGCTGCCCACTGCTGGCTGCCCCCCTGGCGTGCCCTCCGCAGGAGGGCCGCCGGGCCCGGCTCTGAGCCTGGCTCCCTCCATCCCCCCTTGGCTCGTCCCCAGTCCCCTGGCCAGCCGGCGGCCTGCGTGTGGCCCCAGGGGTGCTGGTGGCAGCAGACTCACTTCCCACCTGGTGTCTGAGCCGGGCTGGCCTGTCCCTCATCCTGCTGAACTGTCCCTCATCTGCCAGAAGGCACTACATGACACACGGCTAGCCCTGGGCCCTGGACAGCACTGACTGCCTTGTAGTCAGTCTTCCCACTGGCCTGGAAGCTCTTTGAGGTCAGGGACTAGGTCTGGAGCATCTGTTTCCAGCTCCCGGCTCAAGGCCACACACAGGGGAAGTGCTAGGCAAGCCCTGGAGGGAGGTATGGATGGGTGGATGGGTAGGTGAGTGAGTGGGTGGGTAGGGGGATGAATGGATGGGGGGATGGGTGGGAGTGTGGGTGGGTGAGTGGGGGGATGGCTGGGTGGGTAGATGAATGGGTGGGTGGGTGGGTGGGGGGATGAATGGATGGGGGGATGGGTGCATGGGTGGATGGATGGATGAGTAGGCAGGAGGTGGGTGGGTGGATGGATGGGTAGGTGGGTGGGTATGGGGGGTGGGTGGGTAGACGGATGAATGAATGAGTGAATGACTTGCATGAAAAAACAAATGAGTGAAAAAAGAATGAATAAAAGGCTGATTTGGGTGGCGCTGGATGCTGCTGAAGGAAGGAGGGCCTACAGGCCACTACCCAGTGACGGTGCACACAGCTGTGGTCCCTGTCGCTCCATCAAGTGGGGCTGCTCCCCCTTCCTGTATGAAATGTGGGCCATCCATCCTGTCTCCACCCTGGGCTTGTGCTGTTGCTCTGAGCCCACGCTGACTCCCACCCACCTTTCCAGCTCCACTACTGGCTGCCTGCGGCTCCTGGTCAGCCCCGATCCACGGCAGGAGCCAGAGGTTTCTGCCCTGGGTGGGGGTGCCTCCTGCCTGGATCCCTGTGACCAGGGATGGTCTCCTAGCTCAGTTCCTCACAGGGCCCTGCCCATGAGGTGCTCCGTGGAGGGAGAGGTGAGTGAAGGAGTGGACACGTCCCTCACACTGAGGACCAAAGCATCCTGTCTACAGCAGGCAGGGCATGCAAACCACCGTGAGAGCAATGCTGGAGTACAGTATGGCATGATGGAGCCCTCTCGCCAGTGAAAAATCCATTTTTCATCTTGTAATATCCTTGCGGTGGAAATTCTTTAAAAATCATCACAAGGAAAAGAAAAGCGAAAGCCGCTGTTCCCCTCCGGCCCTATTAAATGAACAGATGCTGTTTCCAGAGCTACTCCTCGGTTGTCAGCCTCAGTAACTGAGGGTTTTTTTCAGGGTGTGCACTTCTACTCCCATGTAGAAAATCATGCCTCTCACGACAGAACACTGGGTACGGGCTTCGTGAACTTGAGCTCTGATCTTGGCCAGGGAAGCAGCGATGGTCATGCCCAGCCCTGGTCATTCAGGGAGCGGATGCAGGCCTTGCACGGGAACTTACAGGAGGGGAAATGCAGGAGGGAGTCAGTGTGGGAGTGGCGGCCCGTGGGGAGGAGCAGCCTCGGTGTCCTTTGAAGAGGGGGTGCTCGGCAAGGAGGACTTGGGGTCCCGGGGCTCCCTTGTGGCCAGACTGCTCCTGTGTCTCGGATTTGATGTCCTCCTTCCCTAGAGTAGGGCTTCCCTGGTGGTTCAGACAGTAAAGAATCCTCCTGCAATGTGGGAGTCCCGGGTTCAATCCTTGGGTTGGGAAGATCCCCTGG